TGGAGAAAAGTATCTCTGATTCACAGACCTATTTATCATTGCTTGATTTCCAAAACCGTGGTAAAAAGACTTCTATGTAACTCCATTGCCTTCAATAAGTTTTTGTGCCAGGTGATGTAACATTATGAGCAAAGCTATGCATGGTGCAAAAGAGAGACTAGAATCCAGTTCTTACTCTTTTAGCAAAGTTGGCTACGCAGTGCTAGCAGGAGCAAAAAGTAGTCATTTATTTTTGTCACTTAGAGTAAACATATATGACTCTGAAAACACAAATGCTTAACTCCTCTTGAATGAAAAGGTGCCATTTGTGTAGAGTCACACTTCTGAACAGAACCATAATTTAAGACACTAATTTCAGTTAATTTCCTTAAAAGTTAGCACTACAAACTCATTAATTCGCAACCCCAACATGCCTGGGGAATAAGCATCCAGCATCTGTAACTGCAAAGATTGTATGTTACTGGGCTGTGCAACAGTCTACCAAGGTTTGTTTGTTTTTAGTACAAAATTTGCATTAAGAGAACAGATGAAGTGTTGTTATGGAATTATAACCATTTTTCATAAGTCTCACAAAAGTTGAAGATGGGGAGAAAACCCATTAAATCTTCTACTCCACCCTCCTGCTATTGTAGGATTTTTTTCTTATAGTATATATTATTCTTTTTCCATTTTTTCCTTTTTAAAAAATCCCAAGTCCGGGGGATTCCTGGGGGATCCCACTTCCCTTGGTTGATTATTTTGTGTGCCATGTTCCTTAATTTTAAAATTAACATAAACCCATCCACAAATAGCTGTGATGATAAACAAGTTTCCTTTATTCCAGTGAAAGATCTGGTGCAAAAAAGTGTTTTAAATTTTGATATTTCAGTTGTCAACTATCAATTGGAATTGTTCCATTTGTGCTCATGAAAATAATTAATTGAATAATTTGTTGTTTTTTAAATTGTGAAGTATACACTGTATTTGAACTAGCCCATTTGTCAGAGAATGCAAGCTTGTTTCCTTAGCCCCCCCCAAAAAATATGCTTCTAAAATCTTCACTTCATAGTTATTCATTCATGCTACCAAAAAGTACCATCCTGATTGATGTTTTTTTGTTAACTGGCAGCAAGCCTGGCTTATGTGCAAACCCAAATCACCACTGATTTCAATGATCGGTGATCCAAATGGTCAGGAAACAGCTGTTGTGCTTTTTTTTTTTGGCACCCACTCCTGCAGTCTTTTCTATGTTCTTAGCTCTTAGGATCCTGCTACCGCCTATCTTCAACATTTCCTGCCCCCTCCTCTGCAGATGTGAAAGAACAACGGTTGCAGTGAAACTGATGCATTTCTGGTGTACAAAAATTGCGGGATGGCATGTAGCAAGATTTGGTTGAGGTTGTGTAGGGGTTGCTCATGCTCTGTGTAAAGTCCAATTCTTGAGGTTTCTCTGTGGCCAGTAAACAAATCCCCTAATCCTTTCTCGCCAAGCAGGATGGATGGTATGGCTCCAGGAGATGGGATTTTTGCCTTAATGCTAAACAAAGATTTGTAACCTCATATAACAATCCATTTACTGTATACTTCTGAAAAGTTCTTGCTATGGTAGCAGTGATTTCTGTTAAAGTAAATTGACAATCAGTTATGTCTTTGATTGTAATTATTCTAGAATTTACTCAGCTGTTCCAGTGGTTGCCATTAAAAGAATATCTATAGAATTTAATCTCATCATCTTAAAACCTAGTAATAGGAAAATGTTTTGATAGTCAATACTATGGAAAAATAAAAGCTTCCTTTTTAAATAGTAAAACTGATTAATCTGTTTTTACTATGTCCAATTTTGCAAAGTATCCTTTTTTGAAGTTGCATATATAAAACGTAAAAGTTCTAATCTTTAAATCATAACCAGATATATTTCAGAAGACTTTTTTCTTTATTCAGTTTCAAATTTAAGAGCACATGTGAGTACATGTGTGTTCAGCAGAGTTCCTGTTAAAATATGTTCATGTTATATTCTTCATGACTTTGCCCCCACAGATCCCATTATGAGATCACAGGTCCTGCCATTCAGCAGCTGGACTCATTTCAAAGCAGCCTTTGCAGGAGTATTTGTATGCCTCTGTCACAACCTTGTGAAATCAGGGGTGTAAGCTCCTCTACACACATGCAATTATACGTCATTACCTCCTTCCATTGACCTAAGTGGACAGAACCCTACCCTCTGCTTGCATTGGGAATGGAGTTAATTGAATATTTTAGTCCATAAAGTATTTATCTAGTAATAAGTTCATAGAGTTTGTGTGGACTCTGTTTAGATTTCCTTTGCAGGTCAAAAGAGAGGTGGTAGTTCAGGACTCCATGCCCTGACAGGGAGGAAGCCGTGCAGCACTTAAGAGCACTCCTGCAAGAGGTCTCTCAGAATTGCTGCATGATGCCAGAAGGTTCTTCTGGGTCTTTGCCCAGGAAGTCCTCATATCTGTTGGAGAAGGATCTAGTCATTGGATTTTGGAATGCACTTCAGGGTCTGAACCTGGATGCAAAAAGATTTGCCTATGAGTAGAACAGCCAAGTGCTCTAAGAGTGAAGGCATTCCCCAAATGCACGTGTCAGCTTCTAAAAATTGCAGAAAGCATAGGGGCAAACAGATATCCAGTAATGCGCATTGGTCCTCATGGTCTGGTAGAGACTTTGCTGAAGATTGGTTCTAATTTTGAAAGATCTCCTTCACTGGAGTAGTTCAGAAATTTGCAAAATTTACTCATTGATGGTCTACATTGACATGTCAGACCCTGCAACTAGGTCCCTGGTTATCACCACTGTAGTCCACATCATGGCTGGCTTTGTAATTCTGCAATTAGATTAATAGTAAGATCACTGAGGCTGGGAAGCAACAGAAGCTCCTTTTTTATTTTTTAATTTGGTTTCTGGGTCCAGCACAGTTCTTCATCACATCACTCAAGGGTGCAGGAGATTTTTTTTAGTCACTGCAGAAACAGTCATCCATCTTGGTCCATCAGCTTCTTCTGCCCTTCCAGTGAAACAGCAGTTTTGCCAGAAGCTCTAGAAGCCATTTTAATTTTTAAGATGTTCACGGGCATTGCAGAATGTCAGGTCTCTCGCCAGGTCGCTGGGTCCTGGAGTTCTTGAATGGATATATGCTTTTCAGTTTTTCAGGCCAAATCCTGATCCCCAGTCCTTCTCATAGTAAACCACTACAGGATATATTAATATCTCTTGTGAAAATGGAGACTACAGAATTGGTGCTGGTGCCAAAGTCTCACTACATCTGTGAGCTGTATTAGTCCTGCTTTAAATTGAGAAGATTGCCAGAACTCATGCTCTGACATCTTTGATAAAACAAGCATAGAAAGCACCTCAGGTTCAATGGGGGAGATTATCTCAGTCAGTGAAATTGCAAGCTACAAAGTGGCTTGTGTCTGGCAATTGTGGTCGCCAATCTTTGTCAGCAGAGCCTGAAGTTGTTTCCATATTAGACATTTGGCTTCTAAGAGTCAACTTATTGGGGCATGATTAATTTTCTAAAGATCACTTGTTCTCTGCCCAATGCTGAAGTTGAGTGCATATCGGGAAATTTGGTCTTAGTGCCACTCAGGTTCTGACACTTAAGAACTTTCTGGAGTTCTTGGAAGGCACTAGTTTGCCTCCTGTAAGAAGAGTTGTGGACTTCTAACATGTGTTGTCAATGAGCAGATCTCAGGAACTTACATTAAACAGTAACTGTTTGAGGCTGAGAACTTCATGCTTTTATTCCTCTGATCAGAGCAAAGACGGTGGATATTCACACAGATAACACCTGTCAATACACAGTTTATTTGTGACACTTGCAGTAGTAGATCATTTCATTGGACGGGGGAATGTTTTATAAATCGGGGTGGGGGTTTCTGTACGTGAAAGGGGGTAAATTTACTTCACTGTATATCACTGTCTTAGTAAACTTTCAGTCATGAAGACCTTGGCCAAGGCTCTTTCCAGAGTGATTAGTAATTTTGGGGTGCCTTGGTTAGTGAGTGTGTCACTTAGACTTTAAAGAGCCCTAACTTTCAGAAAGCACTGAGCATCCACTCTCTGAAAATCAGGCCCCTTTAAAGTCTTTCAGGTTAAGCACCCACTGATTTGAGGCATCCAGAACCACCAGTCACTCTGGAAAATCTTGGCCAATGTTTGTAACTTTTACTTATCTCAGAACCAGCCACTCTTCATTGTATGACTTGTACACCGTAGCAAACAACAAAATTAGTTGAAATAGGAAGGAATACAGCTAATACTTCAAACCTTCACATCACTGTTCAGCATGCTGTTGATCCTAGGCATGTTTTATACTCCTATATAAAGCATAGCTATTATAACTCACCTGTTCCCTTCTTGGTTACGCCTCCTCAGCAGGATACCATAATTAGAGCTGTGGGATGGTACCAATCAGTAATTTGTTCCTGGAAAAAATATTTTCATTTCTATTGGCAAGCACAGCTTTTTGCTCCAAAGAGAGTGCAACTTCACATGCATGTTACAAGCTTGTGATGGGGAGAAATTAGACACCGTGATGAACACTTGTTTTGTGTGTGAAATGGCACCTTTTTACATACAAAGTTACCTTTTGTTTCCATGAAAACCAAAATGTCTTTTTCATCCAATTTTTTGTCAATGTCACCAATTTTGTGTGCTGCTTGGCTCTCTTCCTAATCTAGCGTTACAGGGGATGGTTGTGTTATCAACACAGTTGACTTGACAGTTGCAAGAGAACATGGGAAGAAACTCTTCTAACTTACTGCAATTATCATTTTTACATAAAAAAAATTTCAAAAACACCGGGTAAATGGACTTGATTTAGGAAGGTGAACTTTCACACTAGCTGTACTAGCAATGTTTTGGGAGGATTTCTGCAGCTTTATTTCACACCTAATAACTGTACCTCTGTCACTTATATTGTAATCCATGGAACCATTGAATAAGAAAGCATATCTGCAATGGCTTCCAGTTAAAGTTTGCCATTTCTGTTGTAGGTTGCTCCAGAAGAATTTAAGACTAGTATCAGCCGTGTGAATGCGTGTTTAAGGAAGAATCTCCCTGTAAATGTAAAATGGCTGCTTTGTGGCTGTCTGTGCTGCTGCTGCACCCTGGGTTGCAGCCTGTGGCCTGTTATCTGTCTTAATAAAAGAGTAAGTGCACATTTCAAAGTTGCATTGTGACCAAAAATTGACAACTGTTGCTAATGTTTAATAACCTTTAAGTAACGATGCCTTTATTTATTCTGAAACTTCTTTCTGTATCCCCATTTGCCATTGTAAGTCTCCCTTTCACTGGTGAGATATGTTTGCTAGCTATTAATCTTTAATAGTAACAGAATATTGTGTGTGTGTGTGTGTGTGTATGTATATATGCATGTGGGAATAGAATATATATACACGCTAAGTAAACAATGTTGAATTTTGTTAATAACAATGAGTTGTGCCGGAGTAGCAGTTAATGAGCCAAAGAACATCCTAAATAGACTGAAATCTCTTTGTAAGCCTGTGTACATTGTACAATTTATTAAAGGAAGAAACAGTATATTCCTTCATCCATCAGGTTTCAGAGTAGCAGCCGTGTTAGTCTGTATCCACAAAAAGAAAAGGAGTATTTTTGGCACCTTAGAGACTAACAAATTTATTTGAGCATAAGCTTTCGCATATATCCGATGAAGTGAGCTGTAGCTCACGAAAGCTTATGCTCAGATAAATTTGTTAGTCTCTAAGGTGCCACAAGTACTCCTTTTCTTCATCCATCAGTTACTTTTCTAGTTTCATATCAGGATTTATCATTGTGAATGGAAGCTAATGTTATAGATGGTCAAAAGATTGGGTCATTTCTCCCATTATCTAGTTTTGTTTCTTTTCTAGTGAGCTAATTGTGAAAAGGAAAGTGCACTAAACTCTACCCAAAAAAAGCCTACAGGTTGCACCACATGCAGAGAGAAGTGGTTTGGCAGCTCCTTCAATTTGTTCATGAAAGTAACAATAATAGAACTGCTTGGAGTGAAGCAGAATGCAGGCAGGCATTTTCCCATGCCCCTCTTCCAGATCATACTCGTTCTTCCCTGCAGCATCCCTTATATTATGATTTTTGGGCCTTTCTTAAGTAGAGAGAATCAAAATATGTGGTTTTTGTAATAGAGGACAAACCTTTGCTGGGGTGTACAAGGAGACTATATTTAATATTTGACTTCATAAGGGTTCAGCCCTGATTTCAGGATTGAAAAGCATAGTGCTTTAACCCACTGGGCTGCTGTCATACAGTTGGCTTCTCCTTGAGTGCCCTTCCATGCAGGATGCAGCACGACAGCTGCATCTGCCTCAGTTTCCCTCCTTCACTGGTCCCCAGAAAGGATCTCCAAGCACTCTTACCTAGGCTTGGTCTACACTGAAAATGGATACTATGTCAGTCAGGGGCATGAAAAAAACTGTACACCTTTGCAACATAGCTATGCCAACAAAAAAACCCAGTGTAGGCACAGCTATGCTTACGTAATAGTGTTTCTGTCAGCATAGCTAACATGGCATTCCTACACCAGCAGAATAGCTCCTTCTGTCAGCATACGTACTATGCTGGGGGGCTATGCCAGCTAGGGTGACCAGACAGCAAGTGTGAAAAATCGGGGTGGGGGGTAATAAGAGCCTATATAAGAAAAAGCCCCAAATAACTGGATTGTCCCTATAAAATCAGGACATCTGGTCACCCTAATGCCAGCATATGCTCTGTAGTGTAGACATAGCCCTTGTCTAATCCTATACAGTGTTCATCAGTGTATCTGAGTGCTTCCCAAGTATTTAAAATAGAAATAACACTTGTACCACTTTTACAGAGCGATCTGGATGGGGGATAGGGGGAGCTTCCTCCTGGAAAGCAGTAACTCTTAAAAGGATTTAGGTATGATGACAAACATTCAAATAAACACAAGCTTCCAGTCCAGTGCTGGAGCCAAAAGGGTTAAACAGGTATATAGAGAGTAGGAGTAGGGAGACAATATCGCACTGATCAGACCATAACTGGAATATTGTTTCCATTCAGGTGTAAACACTATTAAAAAAAAATGTTGAAAAAGAGGAGAGGATTCAGAGAAGAGCTGTAAACATGATTTGAGGACAGGAAAACATGCCTTACAGTGAAGGATTATAGATTAATCTAATTAGTTTATTGAAGACAGGGTTAAGTGACCTGATCACTGTCTACAAATACTCACATGATAAGATGTCTGATAGTGAAAGGTTCTCTAATTTGACAAAGGCATAACAAGATCCAGGGGCTGAAATTTGAAACTAGACCAACTGAAACTGGAAATAAAGGGCAAATTTAAAAATTGAGAGTAGTTTAACAAGTAGAAAAACTTATCAAGGGAAATGGTGGATTCTCCCCCACTTGAAATCTTTAAATCAAGATTGGATGTCTTTCTAAAAGAGATGCTCTAGCCCAACCACAGTTATTGGGTTTGACATAGGAATTACTGGGTGAAATTCTATGGTTTGTGTTATGCAGGGGTCAGACTAGATCGCAACCTTTGTGGCCTTGAAATCTATGGATCGCTGTCTCCCCCCCCCCCCCTTCCCTCACCTTATTGGTGAAATAGTTTGATTAGTTTAAGAAATGAATTTTCCATTTTGCCCTCCAAGTGGCTATTTTGAAGGTCACTTATTTTTTAGTTCCATATTGTAGATCCAGCTCCTATGTATATTCTGTTTCCTGTATTTGTGACTCTCACAGTGTGTTAAGAGTTCCCTTGCTCTTGTGGAACATAACCATTATGGCATGTCTGAACTGGTTGCAAGACAGGTGATCTGTTAGGTACATGTGGCCAGTCCCTTAGAGGATTTTGAATTTCAGGACATAGACCTTGAATTGAACTTGATATTCTCAGAAGCCAGTGCAGAGAGCAGAGCACCAGGATGATACATTCAGAGTCCTGTGTCGCTAAGCATACAGGTGCTGACCTTTGTACCAGCTGGAGCTTTTTTTCAGCCTGTGTAGCTTCATTCCTAGATCTGAGTTGCAATACTGGAGCCCAGAGGTCACAACTGTAGGGATTACTGTGACCAGGTCAGATGGTTCTAATCTTTTGACCAGTAACAGATTGAAGATGGAGTTTTGCTGACTTAGCTACTTGGGTACCCAAAAATGCTGAGTCCAAGATGACTCCAAAATTGTGCAGCTGAGAAAGGTACTGGGAATGATGGAGCTTCTGAGTCTAGAGAGAAATCATAGTCTATAGGTCTGATAAGACACCCCTACTCTTCTACCCCTTTAATCTATACTTGAGACAAGTGGATTTGGGAAGGCAAGATTTCTTCCAAGGTGAAATTCTTTCTTTGCTCAGTTATCCTTTCCTAAAACATACGGTACCACTTTACATGTGATTCTTGAGAGCTGCAAATATAAACTTTAAGACCTTTGAGAATGAGGTTGACCGTTGAGCCATTTCTTATATAATGTTGACTTTCTTCCCTAGACTAGAAGATCAATTCAGAAGTTGCTAGAATGGGAAAATAACAGACTATATCATAAGGTAAGAAATATTAAGGACTAGAATCTATACACTTATTTTCCCACTTTTATTTAGAATTAATAAAATATTGCACAATTGCAATACAGGAATGCTATTAGCTTGTTTAGGACTGGAGCTAAAATACTAAATTCATCTCACACCTTAAACTGTATGAAATGTAAAAAGACATGCTTGAGATCTTAAACAGTTAGATATTGCTGAAGCTTATATTATGTTGTTGATGAGAAATAATGCAATAGTATACCTTTAATCCCACAATAATTATTTTCTTAGCTTGGTTTGCACTGGAAGCTGAGTAAAAGGAAATGTGAAACTAGCAATATGATGGAATATGTGAGTATTCTTTTCCTGTTACATTTTTAGTATCTATTGCTACAGTGTGATTTAATAGTTCAAATGTCATTAACTACCAGACTCTTTACCTTTCAGTCTCCTCATGACTAATTCATTTTCAGCAGACGCGCACACAACCTCTTGAAATTCACCATTTGTATGCCTTACTACAGAAACTCTTGGCTAGTAGAATGAAACAATCCTATTTTGATACACAAAGACGGCAACATAACAGAGCAGCTGCTGCATGTAGTAAAACTTAGACATTGTCATCTGAAAACAGGGTTTCTCCTTCATAACGTTGCCTGCTCAGAGCCCTACTGTAAGAGATTTGTGTTGAATAATAGTTGACAGTTAGCGTCCCCAGGAGCCCTATCTGTTATAATGAGGTTACAGATCCCGCACCCCTTCTTAGTTCTCACCCACATCCTCAGTTTCTCTCCACCTGTTGAATACTCACTGAACAAATCTCTCCCTTTCTCCTTTATTAAAGTATCTGTAAATAACTCACAAGTAACTAGTATAGCATAGACTTAGAAGTGTTTAATTTTTGTAGTTTTTTGGCTACTTCAGCAAATTTTTTGTTGGTTTGCGTTTGTCTAAAGCTTTGACCAAGATAGTGGATCCATCTAAGAAAGCAGAGTTCAAGATGTTCATCTTGTTTGACTATGTTTTCCTCTTCAGTTGGGCATAAAAATTACCTTTTATACTTCAGGGAAGGTCACTTAGGCAAAAACTTTGGTGCATACTATAAGTCTAGTCTTAGCAAGGAAATGAAACCATGAACAAAGCATAATTTACAGTACCATTGTAAATATGTAAAAGGTGTAGCTAGTAGAAAAGAGGTAGAAGGAGGATAGTAAGCAATGTGTGATAACTTGCAGCTGTAATGGAGTGGCCTAGCATGCAGTGGAGTGCATGAACAGCTCATGATTTAGATAGGGATTGGCTACAAAAATTTGTAGCCCAATCATAGTGTGCGATACGTAGTAAGTGTAAGTATGTGTATAAACTGATTAGTGATTATGTATTTTGGATGTGTGGTATACCCTGTAGCCACCCCTACACTCGAGCCTGATCAACTCAAGTATAGCTTGACTGTATGCCAATAAAGAAACCTCAGTGACGAGCCTGGAGTTGAACTGATTTCTTGGATTCCAGAAAACTGTATAAAGTGCTGTCCCACAACTGAAAGAGGTGTTCCGGATAAGCAGAGTGGAAAAAGTTGTGGAGGGAATCCCAGCACCTATAGGGTCCCTTCCAATGGGACCCAGGACAGAAGGACTCTTCTCGGTACCTGATTTTTAAGCTTTTAAACTTGAGAGTATTTTCCTTTAAAATATTGATGATACATGTCTGGGTGGCATGGGTTCTGCACATGTCAAGTCCAGTAGCAAGCACTTGGCAATAAATGTTTATACGGTTGCATTGACTTTATTCCAAAGAACTAATCAGTTTGGTTAATATGTTATGTTTTTTTCTTCTTCAACAGGTAATACTAATAGAATTCTTACCAAAATATCCCATATTTCGACCTGACTGAGGAGCAGTATTCAGTCTTTCATGTTACCTGCAATTTCCTACTCTTAGTGCCTTGTAGCTGATTTTGGAAAGAAGATGGTCTACTTTGCTGTGACTTTAAAATGTTGTTATTTGGTAGAATATCTTCCTTGCTATGTTATTTTTCTTTTGTTTAAGAAGAAAACAATTTGCACATTTTTTATGTTAAATGAGGCTTCTATGTTGCACTCTGAATTTTTAACATTAACAATAACAAATATAGTTGCCACTAAGGATCTAACAACAGTGCTGCTTAACTTGTTCTGAGCATGCTGCCTTATTAATTTCCATACTTACTGTTTCCACATGTACATCCTAACTCTGTATCATACTGTATTTCATTCTAAAATCACATTACTATAAATCCTCAATAGAAACATCCAAGTAAGCTTCCAGTAGTTAGCAATGATTTTACTTATAACTTGCTTGCATAGGACTTGCAATTAACAGCACTGGTTTTGTCCCGCATTTTGCAAAATCATCATTTACATTAGAGGGTTAATTATTTTACCTACTGTGGATTTGTAAATAGTGCCTCGTTGCATAATGTAAAATGTGGTATGTCAAGGTTTACAGAATGTAATATAGCTCTGATTATTGCCAACAGTTCTACATAGATTTATTAATGACATTTATTAGCATCCTGATTGTATGGACCCATTCATATGCCATTTTTATGGTAAAGCCATAATGAGTTTGTACATACTATCAGGTGTAGGGCTCAGATGCACTTTGTTAGTAAATGGATGAAAAATGCATAGCATTTCTGTGTTTCTTCAGAGATTTTTCAGGTGTCTTGGTTAATACCTGAAATAAGGAATCTTAAGTATTCTCACATTTTGGAAAAGTTGTATTTGTGGAGTAGACTGCAACTAATATATTATCAGACTATCCTAAAAGCCTATTTTTAAGACACAAATATATGGAAGTCAGGAAAAAACATGGGTTTTTTAAAAAAAAAAATTAAAAAAAGCGAAGAAGCAAATTTAAAGTAATTGGACTGAATTGTTATAACTACAGCCAACTACTTGGGACAGGTAAATCAATACAGAAGAAACATTAAATTTAATATTTTTATTGCACAGTGGTACCTGATATTATTTTTTACATATTGAGCAGTTAACTAAAACTGCATCCTTTCCAGAATGAAAAAGGAGCAGCATACATATTTTCAAACAGAATAACAGAGAACCACAAAACAATCGTTTGATGCAAGCCATGATGAGCTGATATTTGCCACAAAGAGCTTTATTGTAACTTAGTGTCCAGGCATTGCTTTACAGTTATTTGGATTCTTTGTGATGCTATTTGGTGCCTAAGTTTTCCAGTTCCAGATTGATTTTAGAATCCTGTTTTAACATATTAATCCATACTGAAAAGGGATGGTACAAACCCTGGTTGGAATGGAAGAAAGCATTTCGTAAACCATTGCATTTAAAAAACTGCAGTTGACATGACATGACTTCCAGCAGACTGTCATAACAGTGGTGAGGGACAGAGAGCCAGTTACAGGCATGTAGTCTTGTTGAGTCAAATTCTTCATACTTTTTGTTGCTCAGCTGAGGAACAGGAAACTCCTGTACTTGTGATGTAATTTCCAACCACAGCTGCCAAGAGTGATGCTTCAAGCTGAGATATTTGAAGCTGAAATGGATTGTCAGCCTTAGACTGGTTTCAGTTCGTGTCAGATCAGTGTCAGCTAACTAAGTGAATTTTAAACCACTAGAATGTAAGTACTTTAAAAAAATCTACAATAATGTCTGACTATAAACTTAGCTGCAGCTTGCAGCTAAACTTTTTTATTACAGAACTACAAAAAGCATACATAGTGCCATATTATGCTGAAATGTGTTTAAGGGTGGGAAGCAGAGGGAATGCTTAAAGACTTGGAGAAAATAGAGTGCAAAATAGAATTGGAATAGCATGCTTAATTTTATATTCATTTCTGTTAAAACAGGATTCTGGGCAGTAAGTTTTGCTAATAAAAGAATAATTGTAAGCATTTTTAATACCTTAAAATCTTAAGTAATGGAAGCTTCTTACTATTATGCTAGAGGTTGTTAATAATTATTCCCTCTCATTTTTGTTAATTAACAGCCCAGAAACCACACCACTTTCTTTATTTTCTTCCCTCATTTGAGTGACTATATTTTCAGAATGTTCCTCTGCAGCTGAGGGGACAAGAAAGCCAATGAGAGTTTGATGTCATGAGTAGTAGTGAATATTGAATACTCTTCAGTCTCATAACTATTAGCAGTCCTTCCCCTTAGACCCAAGTCTGTGTCTGACCTTAACATATGCAGGTCAGAATTGTTCCATCTGATTTAGAACACATTTTTGTGAAACACTATGCCAGGCTGAGAGAAAATACCATCAGCTCTCCCCAGTTAGACCGTATGTTCAATGGGTTATTAATTTAGAAGACTTGCACTTGTATCTGTATGAAAATGATTCATTTAAGAACATAAATTCTATAGGGTTTTTTTTTTTTAAATGTCACATTACAAATTGTTTAGTCTTCACCCCCATTAAAATTTAGTTCAAAAATGGGTCCCTACATTTTGCCCAGCTATGAGGCAATACTAGCAAATGGTCTGGAGCATGAGAGCCAAGACAGCAGATTACAGCAAATTTCATCTGACTAAAGAGGTAATTTTGGATTGTGTTACAAATGCCAGCATACAAATGACATAGATCATTTTTCTCATTTAAAGATGAAAGCAGCCACTGGTGTTGCTTTAGACTGTGGACTGCGTTCTGCCGACAGGTTCTATTTTGACTGCCATTTGCTTTAATACATAAACATTCATCTGATAGTTTTCAGTCTTCTAAAATCTATATTACCTTAAACCCTATAAGTAAATATGAATTTGTAAAAACCTATCCGTGATGAGTAATTGTTAATCAGAGAGGGTCCATAGCAATACAACAAAGAGTAACGGGAACAAAGTTTAATGCAAATGGAAAGGAAAGTGCCTTGACTTGTTCAAATGAAAGAAAAAGTGCCGTGCAGAGGGGGAGAAAAGGGAACCAGTTTAAGTGAATATCTGTAAATGTAATTGGCCACAAAGTTCCTGAAAAGCAAGTCTGGAAACATTGTTTAGTTTAAGTTTTGTCAGAACACTGTGATAGTTGTTTTCTTTTCCAGACTTCTGCATTAGGAAATGTCACGGTATTATCGAATATTGGCAGGGAAGGAAAACTCTTATCTCCTGGCTTTAAAATGACTTTTTTGAGAGTAGTTTCATGCTGGCCTAAAGAAATGTAAATGTATATGAACATGTGTAGAAAGTTTAGATTTGATTATGTATGAGACTAGAAACAAAACACATTTTTGCTAAATTTAGTGTAGTCTTGATAAAGTTCATATGCTCATCTTGATAAATACAGAAATCTGTATGCAAAAACATGAATATGCGTGTATTAGTGTCTCCTGACATCAGTTTACTACATTTATCTATAAACATTAGCATTTGAGCAATAAAAATGTCAAACAGTTAATAGTCAATGTAAATAGTTCTGACCATTTTAGTAAACAATGTTGTGTGATATTCCTGTTCTACAATTTTTGTTTTTGGTGTTTTTGTTTTTGGTGTTTTTATGAAAGTGTAACATTATTTGTAACTCATCAGAAATCTGTTTTTGTTTAAGTTGTATGAAAGGATTTTTAATTGAGTCCTTAACATTTTTATTCTGTTTACAAGTAAATAGCCACTTTTTTTAATAGGACCTCACACCTTGAAGTTTTTTGAATAAAATCCTAAATAAGCTTTGTCTCTATAATTTACTGCATTGACCTGTGCTATTAAAGAAGCTGGAAGTCAAACGTGGTTAATCTGACTCACTTTTCAAAATGTTTTTATTTTAATGAAATCCAGAGATTAAAACAAATAATGCAAAGTTCGTGTAGAAATGGAAAACACCCTTTTGTGCCTCTTCTGTTGTCACATATATGTCAATTTTTTGAGACAACAGGTTTTATTACAAAAAAAGACTATCTGACCCAACCAGATAGTCCTCTACATCAGTGCCTCCGCTACATTTGCCTGCTCACGTTACAAGGAGTCAGCAATCTATGAAGGCTCTACTGGTGTGAGGGTGGTTGATTCCAAGGCCGCCTCCTGGGCCATACTCCTACTTCTCCATAGAATCTGTCCAATTGGTTGATACTGACTTTTGTCAAGAACTGTTTTCCACTTGACATTGTGGAGATAGCGCTCTGGAAAATAGGAACCACAGTTTCGGAGCTAGCCCATGCCATCTTCAGATCCAAGGCATCCACAATGCCTGCGGGATTGGAGCTCAAGGGTGAGGACTTCTCAGAACTGAGAAAAGCAAGTTCTTTTCATTCTGCTGTAGTTCCAACTCAAGGGGAGCCTGAAGGGGGCACAAGAACATGTGCCTGTTAGACAAAAATACTTGAATAGAAGACTATACATTGTGACAGGGTCAGGTCAGATGGCTACATGAGAGTGTTTTTTGAAGCAGATATATTAGTCCCAGATTAAGCAGGTCCCCTTTTCCTGGGTAAGGGAACAGGGGCAGTTTTTTTTGAAACAGAAAAGAAGGAACTTGCTGGAACAAATTCAGGCAGGCAGGCTAATTAGGACACCTGGAGCCAATTCAGAAGCTGCTAGACTCAATTAGGGCAGGCTGGCTAATCCGGGCACCTGAGTTTAAAAAGGACCTCACTTCAGTTTGTGGTGTGCGTGTAAGGAGCTGGGAGCAAGAGGCATTAGGAGCTGAGAGTGAGAAGGTGTACTACTGGAGGATTGAGGAGTACAAGCATTATCAGACACCAGGAGGAAGACCCTATGGTGAGGATAAAGAAGGTGTTGGGAGGAGGCCTTGGGGATGTAGCCCAGGGAGTTGTAGTTGTCGCACAGCTGTTCCAGGAGGCAGTCTAGACAGCTGCAGACCACAGGGCCGTGGGCTGGAACCCAGTGTAGAGAGCTGCCCAGGTTCCCCCCAAGCCTCCCAAGTTCTGATCAGACACAAGAGGAGTTGACATGGACTGTGGGTTCCACCAGCGGGGAAGGTCTCTGGGCTGTTCCCTGACCCACATGGTGGATCAACAGAGACTGCAGGGATTGTTTTCCTTCCTTTTTCCCATGTTGGCCAGTGATGAGGTTAGCTGAGTGAACAGCAGGTTTGAGCCACTACCAAAAGTGGCCAAACTGAGGGCTGCTGTGAATCTCTGAGGCAAGCAAATCCACCAATAAGCACAGGACCCACCAAGGCAGAGGAGGAACTTTGTCACAATATGCAGCACAACACTGTAAAGCACCAGTTCCCATCCTATATTTGTTGATATACCAACGTTTCTTATGAGAGTGGGATTTTATACATAAGCCCTTTGGCATTTTATGTAGGGGGGAATGCCTGGGTCCCTGTAACTAGCATATGTAAATATATTGCTCAAAGATAGAGCACTGTTTTCTAGAGCTCTGCATTTTCTCAGTACATTAGGCAAATGAAAAAGCATTCCCACGTGTGCACTTCACTGACCAGTTTTATTTCATTGCTACAACCCAATACTCAAATCCCTCTAAAACAGTACACTTCTGGGTGCTGAGCCAAATCTCTATTAGCCAATTTTATTCTGACTTGCATTTTGTGTTTTTTAATAGCTAATGGGTCTAGTTACTTGTATTACATGTTGTACCCTCTTGTTTTACAAACTATATGTACAGAGCTACTGAAAATGCAGTTGCCTCTGGAGTGGACAGTAGCACCTAGAAGGACAATCGGTCACCACCATGTTGCACCTTTGGAGAAGAAGGGGGGGGGGGGAATTGGCATGAGTCTATATATGCTTCCATTTCCAGCCATGGGAGAAAGGTGATTTTGTGGTTAAAGTAGTAGATTGTGACTAAAGAGATCTGGGATTTTGTTTCCGCTCTGTTATAGACTTCCTCTATGAGTCTGGGTAAATCAATCTATCTGTGCTTCCATTCCCATCTGCAAAATGAGGATATTTCCTTACATTACAGGGATGTAGTGATGTTTACAGTGCAATTTAAATGTAATTGTAGCAAGGGTAAATTTACCTATACTAGCTTTAATCTACTGAATAAAGAAGACATGTCAGCACAGACTAGCCACCAAGTATAAGGCCACTCAGTATAAATATAAGCAGCTCAGGTTGCTAGCTCATCCCTGTGTTTGTGCCACTGCAACTTCACTGTTATTAGAACAGGAGTACTTGTGGCACCTTAGAGACTAACAAATTTATTTAAGCATAAGCTTTTGTGAGCTATGGCTCACTTCATCGGATGCATTCAGTGGAAAATACAGTGGGGAGATTTATATACATAGAGAACATGAAACAGTGGGTGTTACCATACACACTGTAAGGAAAGTGATCAGGTAAGGTGAGCTATTACCAGCAGGAGAACGGGTGGGGGGAAACCTTTTGTAGTGATAATCAAGGTGGGCCATTTCCAGCAGTTGACAAGAACGTCTGAGGAACAGCGCGGAAGGGGAATAAACAAGGGGAAATAGTTTTACTTTGTGTAATGGCCCATCCACTCCCAGTCTCTATTCAAGCCTAAGTTAATTGTATCCAGTTTGCAAATTAATTCCAATTCAGCAGTCTCTCGTTGGAGTCTGTTTTTGAAGTTTTTTTGTTGAAGAATTGCAACTTTTAGGTCTGTAATCGAGTGACCAGAGAGATTGAAGTGTTCTCCGACTGGTTTTTGAATGTTATACTTCTTGAAGTCTGATTTGTGTCCATTTATTCTTTTCTGTAGAGACTGCCCAGTTTGGCCAATGTACATGGCAGAGGGGCATTGCTGGCACATGATGGCATACTGATAGTGTGGCTGATGTGATTAGGCCCTATGATGGTGTCCCCTGAATAGATATGTGGACACAGTTGGCAACGGGCTTTGTTGCAAGGATAGGTTCCTGGGTTAGTGGTTCTGTTGTGTTGTGTGTGGTTGCTGGTGAGTATTTGCTTCAGGTTGGGGGTCTGTCTGTAAGCAAGGACTGGCCTGTCTCCCAAGATCTGTGAGAGTGATGGGTCGTCCTTCAGGATAGGTTGTAGATCCTTGATGATGCGATGGAGAGGTTTTAGTTGGGGGCTGAAGGTGATGGCTAGTGGAGTTCTGTTATTTTCTTTGTTGGGCCTGTCCTGTAGTAGGTGACTTCTGGGTACTCTTCTGGCTCTGTCAATCTGTTTCTTCACTTCAGCAGGTGGGTATTGTAGTTGTAAGATCATTTGATAGAGATCTTCTAGGTGTTTCTCTGTCTGAGGGGTTGGAGCAAATGCGGTAGTATCGTAGAGCTTGGCTGTAGACAATGGATCGTGTGGTGTGGTCTGGATGAAAGCTGGAGACATGTAGGTAGGCATAGCGGTCAGTAGGTTTCCGGTATAGGGTGGTGTTTATGTGACCATCGCTTATTAGCACCGTAGTGTCCAGGAAGTGGATCTCTTGTGTGGACTGCTCCAGGCTTCCAACTGAGATGAAATTACTCATGATTTGCAAAGCCAGAAATGAATTACAGGTCATCCCAAGCAAATGCATGTAAATCCTGCATAATGCATTGCCATACCATGTGTCTTGCATGTGCCACCTATTTGACAGAAGAACTATTAACAAAATGTTTAAAGAGTCATACATAAATGTGTTGTGATATTGCTTTTTGTGTCCATCCACTTGTAAAACCCAAGTGGAAACCCTAGATGGCTCACTAAAACTCTTCAACAGTTTGAAGAGTTTCTTTTGGAGAACCAGTGGTCCCGGAAACCAGTAGTCCAATAGCCCCTCCATTCCAATATCTAGTTGGATAACTTGAACTACCTGAAAGTGTTCACTAGAAATTTCTGTTAGGGAATCCAAACTGTCTTAATATCATGAATCTCAATGCAAATAGCTCAGAAAGAGAAGAAAATTTTAACTATTTTAGAAATCACTAACTGTGACCTGTGGCATAGTAGAGAGAGCATTGGACCCACACAGGACAGCTGGGTTCTATTCCTGACTCTGCCATTGGCCTAATGGGTGACCTTGGGTAGGTCACTCACTTCCCTATGCCTCAGTTTCCCCATCTGTAAAATGGGGATAATAATTTATTTCCGTCGTAAAGCACTTAGAATATCAGGGTTGGAAGAGACCTCAGGAGGTCATCTAGTCCAACCCCCTGCTCAAAGGAGGACCAATCCCAAATTTTTGGCTCAGATCCCTAAATGGTCCCCTCAAGGATTGAGCTCACAACCCTAGGTTTAGCAGGCCAATGCTCAAACCACTGAGCTATCCCTCCCCCATTTTGAGAGCTACAGGTGAAAATGCTACATAAGAGGTAGGTATTATTATAATTATAATATGAAACTGACAAAGTTAAGTACCTGTATCTTGGGATTTTCCAGAACTAAACCCAAGTGCTATACCATTGAGAAGCTGGGAATCTTCCCCTTCTGGATTGTCTGAAGTTCTGTACACTTGAGGCATGATTCTCTGTTGCTCTGCACCTTGTATCGTTATTGACACGAGTGCAAAGTAGGTGTAAAACACATTCTGTTTAGCATATCATATTGCTTGTATTCTATAAGATACTTTTTGGAAAATCAATTTTCATGTTATAACCGTAGTAATGATCTTTGTGTAGGGCACTCCCTGGGGTAAATGGTCCAAGGCATTGCATTCCTTCCATCTAATAACAATTTCTTAGGCAATTATTATTTATTATTTAACAGTTGTATTATGGTAGCAACTAGAAGCATTAAACAGGTTCTTTTGTGCTAGGCACTGTGCAAATACAGCTTTGTCAACACTTGCAATTTGCAGGTCTCATGATATTTGGTGTTTTTCTTAAAGCCCCAGTTCTTGGAGTCATGTTATTTCATAAGAATGTCAGCTTTCATTTTTGAAAAATAAAGTAAGTTTCTAGCCATCGTTGTTGCAGAGAAAAGCTATATAATGTGTTCCAAGTGTATCCTATGTTAATCAGAAGATAAATAAAATATTTTTAATCTTATGATTTTTAAGCCAATTTCATGATTTGGGAGGGGGCTGACTCATGGATTTTTTAATGCTCAGGGTTGGTCATAGTTCAAATTTATAATAAATTATAGTTCCTGCCCCCAAGAGTTTACAGTCAAAGTTCCCAATCTAACAAATATATATATATACATGCCTAACTTTAAGCACAATTAGTGCCACTGACTTAAAGTTAAGCAAGTGAGTAAGTGTTTGCAGGATAGGGGCCAGAATTCACTGTGCTTTCATAGGTATTGCTCAAACAATGGTCAACAGTGAACAATAATTTTGTAAGTCATTGGCTCCACATGGGTACAAGAATCCATCTGTGTGGATCTTCTTGCATTATCTAACCCTCCATAAGGAACTCCGTGGAACTACTCATGTGCATTAATATTAGCAAATTTGGGCCCTGATTGATGCCAAATGCCTCTTAAATTGTAAGCTCTTTGGGGTAGGGACTATCTTTTTGTTCTTTGTGCGTACAGTGCCTAGCGCGATGGGGTTCTGCCCTCTTAGTAGGGCTCCGATATGCTACCACAACACATAATTCTACTACTAACAATCATGGCTTGTGAGCTCCGGTGATTTTCCCTGTTTATATTGCTTTGTTTGACCTGGCCTTGCTTTTTACATTTACTTTTGCAGATGCTCAGCTCTGCCTTTTAAATGTTGTTCAGTCCTCGCCCATTCTATTCTCCCCAGTTTCGCCTCATTTCGGTTTGACTTTTCGATCAGCTTCCCCCTGCCTGATCCATTCATGTATTTCTTTTGGAAACCCTGAGCCTGTCTCCCCCCGCATACAATGGGCTTGGGTGACTCCAGCTGGGACTTGTCCTTCCCCAGCCCGTGCTGCACAGCGACCGCCCGCCGCCTGAGAAAGGCCGCGCTCCAGGGAATGGACGGCCACGAGCCCAGGGACCGTCCTCGCCCAGGGGGTTGGGCCGGGAGGGACACGCTCCCGCCCTGCCAAAGCGCCACGGCTGTAGCCCCCCCCACCTCTCAAGCGCTGAGGCGCGAGGAAGCGACCGAGCCCCGCCCCGCACATGCCCAGAGCAGAGCTAAGCGCCAATGGAAAACCGAGGGCACAAAAATTGAGGGCACAGGCGCTTCCCCGTGGCTTCACTTCTCCCACGGCATATGTGCGCCAGGTCTCCGCGCATGCTCAGTAGGAAGGCAGGCCGCCCTCTGCTCATGCGCAGTAGCAGGAAGCGCACCGTTCGTTTGGGGTGCGGAGCGCCTTTTGTTGCTCCCGCGGCGGGGCAGTTCGGCGGCGCTAGGACCCGGCGGACCGGGCTCGCACGCGGGTTTTTCCTCCTCCTCCTCCTCCTCCTCCTCCAGAGAAAGAGCGATGGCGGCCCGTTAGCGGCGCGTGCAGGCGGCGGGGCTGGGACTGCGCCGGACGCACCGGGGCCATGGGGGGCGGCGCGGCCTGGCCCCCTGCGTGAGGCGCGCCAGGCCCGCGCGTCCCCTCCGAGCGCGGCGCGGCCCTGTGGCGGCGAAGGCCGCTCGCCCTCCTCCCGCCCGGCCGGTGCCGGGGCATCCCCCCAGGCCAGGGCGCGGCGGCGGCGGCCATGGCCACCGAGCTGGAGCCCCCTGCCTCGGGCGCGGCGCCGCTGGAGGCGGAGGAGGACGAGGAGCACTGGTTGTACGGGGGTAGGTAGCCGGGCGGCCGCCGAGCCCAGCGCGAGTCGCCGCGGGGGATGCGCTGTGCCAGATGCTCCCCTGCGCCCGAGCACCCCTCGGCGGGCGGGCGGGCGGGCAGGGCACGGGGACTGTCCGCACTGCACCTGGCTCAGGCTCGGCTTTGGGCCCAGCCCGCCCCCACTGACTGGGGCCAGCAAGCGCCTAGGGCCCCCAGCCCCGGAATGGCTGGGGTCCAGCCCCGGTCGTTTGGCAGTGTGGACGCAGCTCAAGCCACAGACCCTAGTCTGTATAGTGCAGTATAGACGTGTTAGCACAGCTGTGAGACTGGGGTCTAGCTATTGTAAAGCCAGGCTTAACAGTGCAGTGTGGATGCTCAAGTGCAGGCTTGGAAACAGTCAGTAGACCCAGGTTTGTAATGCTGTGTAGGCATAACTCATGAAAGCTCTCACTAGCCAGAAGGCAAAGTAAACTAGGATAGAGCACAGGCACTCTCCAGATTATGGTCTCCCTCCCCCCTTAGCTTCTGGGCAGCTCCCTTCCCCTCACATTCTCTTCTTCTTCTCCTCTTGAAGAGATGATGGAATTGAGGGTGTTTAGGTTTATCTGGGAGCCTGTCCATACCCAACCCAGTACATGCCCTATGTGATGGTCTTGTATAAGATTCCAGTGACCGTTGCAGGATTTTATATTGGGAGTGGAATAGAGATCATGGGTTGTGGCACTGCTGATAGACCACAATCAAATGAAAGACTCTTACCTATTTAACCTGTCTATCAGTTTTAGGTTTTTTCTATCCTATCGATGGCATGACTGGAGTGTTTAAGTGTTTCCCACATAAATTAAAATTGTATGGCAGGGTTCCTATGGATTTTTCTCCCTCCCTTTGCTGAAGTGTATATGTACCTACACACATATGTATGCCCTACTAATTTACTTTGTTGTTCTAGCTATCATGTGTGATACTACTGTTATCCTTTACTGGGTTATGTCTGTTCCAGATCGTAAACTCCTTTAGAGTAGAAATTTGTTACTTTCAGTTGTGTGCCATGCATGTTTATGGCACTATATCAATAATAGTAAGTCTGAATCCACTACCTCAGCTGGGTGAGCTGGAGTGGGAGTTGACCTTTCATCAGAATTTTTTTCCTCTGGTTAATTTCTGTCACAGTCTTTGATGCTGTTTAATACAGTGTAGCATTGTTTGGCTTGTATATGATCACTTTTTAGGGTAATAGGGTAATGAAGAATGAAAAGGGGCAGAATGAAACTCTAATAGCAAGACATTGGCATGCATAATAACTTTTAAAATCTGTCAAGTAAATGCATATTTGGGCCCCAGTTATGTAATTGGATTGATGCAAGTGGACCCCTGTGCCACTTGAGGCTCCATATGTACCCAAGTGAAGGGTCAGGGCCTGGGTTTGCTGGCAGAGCATTCTTGGAACAGTTACCAAGCATCTTTTTCAATGCATCCATCACTCCATGTGTTTCCTACCGTTGTGAGCCTTTAATTTTTTTATTTTTGTCAATTAAGATCAATATGTTTTCTGGTCTTTTGATTTTTGCTTTTGAAAACTTCTTGACTTGAGGTCCTGTTCCCACCTAGCCTGGTCTGTCTCTCCCATAGAAAAACATGTGTGAAGACTCTTGGAGCCAAGATCCATACCTGGCTTGATAGCTGCCTTTATTCATTCTGTTGCATAATCTGGGGTCTAGCATTAAAAAGGCCTTTTTTAATTCTGTGAGTTGTCAAGGATGTGTAATGTTACTTTTTCATTGCTTTATTTCATATTGAGCTTTGCTTGAAAGCAAAGCATTACTTTATAATGTGTGTGTTTATGTGACAGTTTTTTCCCAAAAGGTCCAGACTGCGTTATAAGTTCCGATCTCTTTGGGTTTTGATTTAATATGTTCTTTTTATCATATTTGCAGATGACACCACTGGTAAGCAAGAAGATGGACCAATTGCTGGGTAAGTTCATAAACTATCCACTCATAATAACTGTATCTGCTGGGAGAACTTTGTCTCAGCATCAGGCTTGTAATACCTAGATACCTTGAGCCTAGTTTCAGATCTTGACAAAGTCAACTCAGCCCCTTGTACTGCAACAAATTGGGTTGTATGAACTTTACTGTTTGGACATCTTTTGGATGAGACCTTCAAAAACAAGTTCTGCGGTGATATTAAGGATCCAGTGTAACTTTTCATAAGATTAGAGAATTCTCCCAGTATCCTTGACCAAAATTCCCCCTCCTCCACTATACTTTTGCAGTGTGGTATGCACCAGCTGTGCCTTCCTCCACCCCAGAGGTGTCTGCATTTGAATGTTTTTTGTAAGTGTACATATGATAGGAATTTCAGGATTGTTGAGCAGCTGCCATAAACTGGAGTTCAGGGTGCTCAGCAACGCAGAAAACTGAGCCCAGTGTTTGCTGCGCTTTGGGACCATTATGAATATTATCCTCTTTGGAGCAAGTATCCTCATTCAACCAATATGAACACACACAAGCAAACTGTAGACTATCTTATTGCATGGTTACTTAGCAAATGTAATGTCAACTATCCCTTGTGACAAGGGATAGCCTCTGATTTTAGACATAAATGTACTGCTAACCTGCATAAATAGTGTTCTTATCTCTTTATGATTTACATGAGATTATCAGAAATGCTCCATAAAATAAAGTAGCTACATCCTTCAGTTTATTAATCTTTGCAAATCACTGTAAAACCTTGAATGCAAAGTATTATTATTATTATTATTATTAACTTCCTGCTCTTATTTTTCTTATAGCCCTCATTTTGAATCTTTGCCCCACATATAGATTTTGTATGGGCTGTGAAATGAAATGAGTTGCTAAATTCTTTGTTAACCATTACCCCCTGATATTTGTTAACCATTGAAATTCGAGTATGACGTTCTATCTGAATATGTTGACTATCCGTGGGAAGACAATGTACACCAAATTACATGTCTTCAGTATCTCTTGACATTCCTTGATGGAGAGGATTTTGTGAAATTATAGCAGTGCTGTAAAGGGGCTGTTTTATAACTGGCACAAAGGGTTATGTTGGGATTCAGGGGATGGAAATAAAATGCCCAGGACTATTACCAACATAAAACTGATGACATTAGTCCTGTCAAAGTGATTATTTGTTCACTCTTCTTAAAACTGTAGGAAAGGGGTTAGGAAGTGGCTATTACTTTATAGATGTGTCCTTGAACTTTCAATTCACAAATTGTAATACACATCCACAGATACTTCGGGTGATTTGAAGCTGAAGGTAACATTTGTTGCTTTTCTTTAATTCAGTGCTGGCTGTTCAATGATCTTAGATTCTGAGACAATTCTGTGGTTTGAGGTCAATCCTCTTAATTGCTTTTGATCTGGTAAAAAGAATGCCAGAGGTTTTGGGGAGCCATCTGTGGCAATTTCCTCCAGTGGTGCTTCTCTTTATCTTTGCACAATGACTTAATGCCCATGACCTTGGAGTTGTTGTGGAGTCTGATCTTCTTTTTGAAGCCTGTTATGCTAATTTGGTAATGGAAGTGCTTTTGCTACCACCTCAGGAATTTGTCCATACTGGTACCTATGCTTACTAGGACTGCAACTGAAATCTTTGTCTGTACTTTTGTTTAATTGTGAAACTTTCCACTACCTCTCCCCCAACATGACTGTGTAGCTGATAAAGAATTCATTTAGCCTATTTTCCCAGGTTTGTCTGTCTCTCCACAATCTTGTCTTCTTCGCCTCCTAATAAGAGAGCTTCATTAGCTTCCAAAACTGCAGTGGGTTGACTTTATTTTATTTGATTCTTGGTAACAACTTCCAAGACTTTATATTGCTGGGCTCCATGATGTCAATGTGATCTTTGACTTCTTTGTTTAGAGGGTGTCTCCTTTTGTGCGGCCTCTGAAATGGCTTTAATCTGTTCAGTGTGTGGATTCTGTGTGTCGTGTGTTTGCAGGAACTAACCCCAAAGGGAGGAAACACTCGCTAACAGGCATGGTGCTTATTCCCATGAGTACCTTCGTTGACTTCAATGGGATTACTCCCAGTAATAAGCTTTGCTCAGATGTGAGTGTTGGAATGTTTGGGCCCTTAAGTCCTTAGTTAAATTAACTTTTTAAAAAAGGATTCTATTATTAAAATTTCAAAATAACTCTTCCAGTTCCATGGCTAAATACACTGCCTTCTGATTTTTAGTTCCATAACATGTAAGGTACATATGATTTTTGTTGTGACTGGCTTGCTTGGATAATGCAATAAGCAATACTAACATTTGCTCCACAATCTTTAGTTAACAGCATAAATCTGAAAGTGCAATAATGGACATTAGGATTAATCTGCAATGAATAAGGAAATGGGATGGTCTAGGGATTGTTAATTACCTATCCTTTAATCTCCAGGTGACTGGTTAAAATTCAGTCCAAGTCCTTAATAACTGAATGTTGTTAATGTTTGGTGGCTTGTAGAAAGGGAATCAATTGATCTTAATCTAATTCCTACTGGGCAGGTGTCCTCTTCACTTTAAAATGCTTATATAATTGGCACTCTTGTTGGCAGTCTCAGGGAAAGGCCAAGGATTGAATGGGCTATGGAGACTGAACTATCTTCTAACCCTTAGAAGTAGTGGGGTTGAGGCACACTGATAATCTTTCAGAGCTCCTGCAAGTGCCTTAGCTGATTTGTGGATAAATAAGTGTTTGGTGTGCAAGGCTGCCCACTTGGCATCGTTCAGGAACTCTAAATTGACTTTCACCAAAAAAAGCAAAACCTGCTGAGATTGAATTTGAGCTAACTACTCTACTACCAGTCACCAGAATCAAATATGTCTGTTCTTGGTAAAACTATGATCAGAATGTTATCTTGATTCTGTACTGATGGGCACTTTGGACATACGAATAGGTTGCTCCATGGGTCAAGCGTATTTATTTTGGTCTGTTATATTTGGTAGACATGCAGAATCTTCTCATCCTTTGCAAGATGCTCCTCAGGAGAGCCGGCCTGTCACCAGTGAAGACCGAGAGATGTCTCAACATGTACGTGTTACAGCTGTAACTGTTGGATGTGGCTATTGCTGTGCAGTGCATGTTCACTGCTTGTAAATATTGGTGTATAACAAGGCTCAAGGAAACAAGGGGCTACTATCTGTCATAAATATAACTTATTACACCTATACCATAACAACTTATTAATTAGCAATTCTAGGTGCTAATTACAGCATATAGCTTTTCTGCCTAAAACGCCAATGGTCAGAGTATTAGGTGTTGGGATTGCCAAGATCTGCTTCTGACTCAGCCATTGACTCCTGGGATTACTCATTTTGAGCCTCTCAACTCCTCTGTACCTTAATTTCTCTGACCCTGATTCAGGATAACACCCCATTGAAATTGGTGAGAGTTAACCACATGCTTAAAATTAAATGTGTGCTTAAGCACTTGCCTGAATCAGAGCCTAATGTGCAAAACTGGTATAGTAACACTTCTAGGCAACTCCACAGGGCTGCGGTGGGAGTTAAAGTTTGAAAATAGTTCAGACATCCTTGGATAAAAGGTGAAAAAATATTTATTATTTTTTACACAATTATTCTTGATTATTAACCAAGTGAAAAAGGACGTCTTTGTAACAGAATAATTCTTCTAACTTTTACTACTTTATTGAGCTTTTAAGACTTGTGTTCTCATCCAGGTGAATTTCTTGGGTGTAAGTATCAATGAGTCTTCATGTGTCTGTTACTGTTAGGCCCCTCCAAGTGGTGAAGATGAGGAGGAAGACAGTGATAGCGACAGTGATGATGATGATGATGTGAAAGTTACCATTGGCAACATTAAAACAGGAGCACCATCATACATGTATGTATTTCTGGCTACAGTGCCTGCTGTTTATTGATCTTACCATTTTAAGAGGCAGTGAGTTTAATGGCTAGCGCCTGTTTCTGGCATTGGCTTGCTGGGTGACCCATTTGTAAAATGAGGCCAATACTCCCCATGTCAACTGCCATCATATTAAATAATTAATATCGGTGGAGCACTTGACTGAGTGAAATAGAAGGTGGGAAATAGTGCAAGTCCTTAATATTACTTTGATTCCTGAGGTTTTGCTGAATTTAAATGAAGAATCAAGCTAAACAGCAGATGAATTAAATCGAAGTCCTGAATTAATTAATTGTTTCAGCTGGCCAATTCTTCACAGCTGAGGAATGGTGAGACCAGTTTTGCAAACTAGCCACCTGTCACTGAGATGCTTCAGAATCTGAGTCTGAATAACACTTAGCTATTCTGTATTAGATGGAAATAAGGGGGCAGCATTTCTGGTTGCTGCTGGCAACCATTGTCTTAAGGAAACCTTTTACCTGTTCATTGCAGTATATTGTAATCCTTCATTGCAAGGATAACTCTCCTCTGCTTCTACAGGAAAGGTTTGGGGTCTTATGGATCATTCTAAAGAGCGATGGCCCCATTCATCATTCTTTGATTCATTAGATTTTTCCAAACATCCTTTTTTGGATTCTGTGTTTTTCGTTGTTATCCAGACTACTCCCTTCCTTTCACATATTCTGTACAGACTTGCTGCTACAATTCTTTCCCCCATTGCCCAGCTCCATCCTAATTCATAGTCTATCACAAGTGTGTTCTCTGGCAGGATGGTACCTACCAACACTGGGGAAATCATCAGGCTCTGCTTCTGAGTCCAGACAATCTTGTGTGTTGCTGCGTATCTGAATGTACGCTGCTGGATATCCATTTCAGTATGCTGCCCTCTCCACCATCAATAGATTTACATGAACAGTGCAATTTAATTTTTAAAGTAATGGAGTCTTAAGATAAGGTAAAGGGCATTGTTGGTTGGGACAACTCTTTATGTTAAGGCTAGAATGTACAACAAAAAATCCAATCTAATCTATATATTGAAATACTGATGCAAATCTTATTCTTTTCTGTCTAGGGGGACTCCTATGAATCTGAACTTAAAAACAGGTAGAGGCTATGGAACATCCTCTTCAGGTATTATAATCATAATAATAATATTTATTTTACCTTCTGTATTTTGGGGTATTTCACACTTCTTGCACAGGTTTTTTGCTGAAGTCTCTGGCATGAATGGCTGGAACAGCGAAAAATATTGCTTTCTCTCTTTTGAAGGTTGTGTGAAATTAAAGTATCTTCTTTAAAGCAAGAGTGAGCTCTGTGCAATGAGTTTCTTAAAGATTAGTGGCTAGCTGGGGAGAATTGATGGCCCAACATGTGTTGGAGGAACAGCCAGCTGGTAATTGATCACCTGGAAATGCCAGGCAGCCAGGTTGTAATTGCTGTTTTAAACTGAAAATGGGGGAAAAAAAGACAATAATCCCTGTGTAACACAGCACCTGTCCAGTACAGGATGTTACTAGAGAATAAATGCTTGGGGCTGGATTTTACTATCCTTGCTTGCACTGAGTGTTACCTCACTCCATGAGTTGTCTTACTGAGATCAGTAGGGCTACATGCGGTGTAAGATATTAATCGCCAGGAGTAAGGGCACAAGAATCTGGCCCTTGATTGTTAACTAATTAGTTGGCTGGAATCAGCCCTCAGTGCCTCATTCAGTTTGTATTCTACATCATATGTTGGGTTTAAAATATCTCTGCAATGTCCTCTTCCCTTTTACCCCTCTTTTCCTTTCGATATGGGAGACTGTCTTTTTTTGCAATCCCTATTTTCCCTTTTCCCAGTCTCTTTGTGGTGATTATCCTCACTCTGGCTGAGGAGACTTGAGATGTAGTTGCTTCCAAAGTCTTTTTCTTCTTGCAAAGTGCTGAGCACCAGACACTCCCTTTGGCTCCAGTGGATTGTTGGCCTATTGTAAAATCAAGCCCAAAGCTAACATTAAAAGTAGACCTGTCTGCATCTGTTGGGGTGGGGATTGTACTGAATGATCTTGAGAAAAGTTAAGAATATTTTCTTCTGAGCTAAATCTCAGAGTTGCCTAAATGGCTTATTTCGTTCATCTATATTGCTGGTGTTTGGGTGGGTCTTTTTTTCCTCGCCTCCCAGCTCTCCCGGTTTAGCAGCTATAACACCATGGCCATCTATTCACAAGTCACTGAAAAGTGTGTTGTTTTTTTTAACTCAAAAGTTAGATCTGGTTACATTTAGAAATAGACAGATGCAGAGCTGATGTTAAATTCATAGCGGATAATAGCTATTTTAAACTGAATAATTTGCTCATCAAACTGGTGGATTAGAAGCATTGCATTAAAAACAGTAACCGTTTCTCTCTCTTCAAAGCCAAGTTGCAGCCCAAAGGTATTGATCTAGATGCCACAGGGAATATAAATGGATTGCCTGTAATAGAAGTGGATTTAGATTCGTTTGAAGACAAACCGTGGAGGAAACCAGGTGGGGCCTCAAAGTTTCTTGTGGTAAATATTTTCTGCAGTTCTGTTTTATTTTGCTTTTCATGTATAGTTTCTGTCAAAGTGTTGCTGCCATGGGGGATGGAGGGGGAAATCCAAACAACCCCTAGTGCTCAGCTCTGACTCCTGTTCTGAGCAATTAGTGACGCTAACTAGAGTTACTGAGCCATGTGCCAATTTCAGCAGTGATCAGAAGAAATTGGGCTAGACTTGTGTTCTGTTTCTTACTTTCCTAAAGAAAAGTAGCTGGTCTTTATATTCACCCTCTGTTTCCTAGAACATACAGCTCTGGTAGCAGTATAATAGCATTTGGCCAAATCTTGAAGTCAGTTGGACTTTTTGTTGTTGCCTTCTGTGCGGTCAGGATTTGGCTGTTGGTGAGAGATGGTCTCCTTTTGATGCACAGCAGCTGGCATGCTTTAGCCCTTCCTGGCTGAACTCAAGGACACCCCTTGTGCAGCCTTGTCATTGGTGTTCCTTTGGAATGTCAGCACTTCAGTTGGGAAGTACCTGGTGCATGAAGGAGCATGGGGATGGATAGTTTGTTCTTAGCAAGTTAGCATTCACCCACATAATTCCTGTTGTTGGGGAGTTGGGGCATAATCTGTATATATTGTGAAGGAAAGCAGTCACACTCAGTTCTTGACAGGAGCATCTCTAATGTGAGTTGATGTATCAAAAAAGCCACCAAACAACCCAGTAAGGAAAATAAACTGATTTACACATTGGAGGGAAGTATTGGTTGTTTCCTGCCAGTGTGTAACAGGGCAAGAGTTTGAGTCAGAAGATGGGTTCCGCTCCAGGGTCTGCCACTAGCCAACTGTGTGACCCTGGGTGAGTTACTCTCCATGCCTCAGTTTGTGTCTCTGTATTATGTGGATAGCGATACTCATCTTTGTAGAACACTGAGATCTATAGATAAAAATTGCTATGTAACATAAGATTAAAATATGGGAAGTTTATTTTATCTTCTGTTTATATTGGTTTTGTATTGGGGAGTTTTCTACATCAAAGTGACTCTTGTGTACAAACTATAAAATGCGTGAAGTGAAGTCTTTTCTATTTTTCAGCTGTGTTTCTGGACTTTAGTTATTTTTTATGAGAGATCCAAACACTTATTACAGCAGCCGTGCAAAATTGGCATGAAAATCTATTAGTCTGGGAATAAAATCCACTCACTTGCTCCTTCATATAATGGCGGGGAGCTAATATTTTACTTGTTTTTGGAACGCTGTGCATGAGATGTGTTTGATTCATCTCACCCACCTGAAATGAAGGGCAGTAGGAGGGACTATGGAAAATTCAAATCACTGTGTTATTTCAGTATTGAGCAGTAGGCACTTTGTGATGAATGGGTGTTGGTGTAGATGTAATAGAAAATATATCCTTTTTTTCTGCAGGGGATTTGACTACGAAGTGAAAGAGAGACTAGGAAGAGAAGAAGTTAGGAAAGAACAGAATTAGAGCAGTGATACCAGTAAAGTTCAGAGATACGAGCGTGGGGATCATTATTGTCCTGCTGACTCATCTCTGGACCAGGAATGATCCAAGTAGCCATAAAATAATATTGCTTTGAAGTATGAATTGAGGTAAAATTAAAGCACAAGCTTGGCCCATATTCTAACATTCACATTAGGTTGTTCTTTGTGCTACTTCAGTAGCCTCTTCCTGGGCAGCCTTCTGGGTTATGTCCTAGACAATAAGATCAGTCAGCGAGATAGTGTCTCCTTAATAAGCCGGGGAGGGGAATGAAACTTCACACCATCAAAGCATGAATGAAGGAGCAAAATCTAATCCAATGAAGCTGATGTGTAAATTTCATGTTGCTATGCCTGAGTTGGAATACATCTGCCCTGGGGGTGCAGCAGGAAAAGTGGCTGGCAGGAGGATGTAAGAAAGTATAAGGTCAAAATCCTGACCGTATCATGGCCAGATAGTCTTAGCTGAAACTCAAGGATTTAAACTAGGATTTGTTGTTTTACAGTTGGTCAAGCTAGAAATACCTTTGTAATGGGAACGTTGAGGGACTTTTTAACAATGCTAGGAAGTGCTTCTGTTTTACACTGCTGTAGAGTTATGTCTTCATACAATTTCATAAAATTATCCACAAGTGATAAAGACAGAACCTTTAAATTATCACATCTCCTCAGTTCAAATCCTGGCTGGGATCACAACTGAACAATAAGTCTATATGATCTAAACCATGTTATAAAGGTCACTTGCAGTTTAGCACAATTGACGCAATGGGCAGGCCCTGGTGTAGAGAATCTTTAATCAGAATGGCAAAGGGCAGTCCAGGTCAGAATAGAAAAGCATTGGTGGAGCTAAGGTGGAAAAAGTCTCTGTGCCACTGACAGTTAGTTTTCATCAGCACTAACTCCTCCGTAGAATTATAAGAGGACTAATATAGGATACCACTCTGAAAAACTAAATCGATGAATTCACATAAGTTATCTCTCTTACAATATCCTGAATTTGTGTTGAACCTTGCATCCAAAGGGTCCCAGAGCACTTCATAGAATCATAGAATATCAGAGTTGGAAGGGACCTCTGGAGCTCATCTAGTCCAACCCCCTGCCCAGAGCAGGACCAATCCCCAACTAAATCATCCCAGCCAGGGCTTTGTCAAGCCTTACCTTAAAAACTTCTAAGGAAGGGGATTCCACCTCCTCCCTAGGTAACGCATTCCAGTGTTTCACTACCCTCCTAGTGAAAAAGTTTTTCCTAATATACAACCTAAATCTCCTCCACTGCAACTTGAGACCATTACTCCTTGTCCTGTCATCTGCTATCACTGAGAATAGTCTAGAGCCATCCTCTTTGGATCCACCTTTCAGGTAGTTAAAAGCAGCTATCAAATCCCCCCTCATTCTTCTCTTCCATAGACTAAACAATCCCAGTTCCCTCAGCCTCTCCTCATAAGTCATGTGTTCCAGACCCCTAATCATTTTGGTTGCCCCTCGCTGGACTCTGTCCAATTTCTCCACATCCTTCTTGTAGTGTGGGGCCCAAAACTGGACACTGTACTCCAGATAAGGCCTCACCAATGTCGAATAGAGGGGAACGATCACGTCCCTCGATCTGCTGGCAATGCCCCTACTCATACATCCCAAAATGCCATTGGCCCTCTTGGCAACAAGGGCACACTGTTGACTCATATCCAGCTTCTCGTCCACTGTCACCCCTAGGTCCTTCTCTGCAGAACTGCTGCCTAGCCTTTCGGTCCCTAGTCTGTAGCGGTGCATTGGATTCTTCCGTCCTAAGTGCAGGACTGTGCACTTGTCCTTGTTGAACCTCATCAGATTTCTTTTGGCCCAATCCCCCAATTTGTCTAGGTCCCTCTGTATCCTATCCCTACCCTCCAGCAAATCTACCACTCCTTCCAGTTTAGTGTCATCTGCAAACTTGCTGAGAGTGCAATCCACACCATCCTCCAGATCATTAATGAAGATATTGAACAAAACCGGCCCCAGGACCGACCCTTGGGGCACTCCGCTAGATACCGGCTGCCAATTAGACATGGAGCCATTGATCACTACCCGTTGAGCCCGACAATCTCTAGCCAACTTTCTACCCACCTTGTAGAGCCTCCATCCAGCCCATACTTCTTTACCTTGCTGACAAGAATACTGTGGGAGACTGTGTCAAAAGCTTTGCTAAAGTCAAGGAATAACACGTCCACTGCTTTCCCTTCATCCACAGAATCAGTTATCTCATCATAGAAGGCAATTAGATTAGTCAGGCATGACTTTCCCTTGGTGAATCCATGCTGACTGTTCCTGATCACTTTCCTCTTGTCTAAGTGCTTCACAATTGATTCCTTGAGGACCTGCTCCATGATTTTTCCGGGGACTGAGGTGAGGCTGACTGGCCTGCAGTTCCCAGGATCCTCCTTCCCTTTTTTAAAGATTGGCACTACATTAGCCTTTTTCCAGTCTTCCGGGACTTCCCCCGATTGCCATGAGTTTTCAAAGATAATGGCCAATGGCTCTGCAGTCACATCCGTCAATTCCTTTAGCACTCTCAGATGCAACGCATCCGGCCACATGGACTTGTGCACGTCCAGCTTTTCTAAATAGTCCCGAATCACTTCTTTCTCCACAGAAGGCTGGCCACCTACTCCCCATGCTGTGCTGCCCAGTGCAGTAGTTTGGGAGCTGACCTTGTTTGTGAAGACAGAGGCAAAAAAAGCACTGAGTACATTAGCTTTTTCCACATCCTCTGTCACTAGGTTGCCTCCCCCATTCAGTAAGGGGCCCACACTTTCCTTGGCTTTCTTCTTGCCAACATACCTGAAGAAACCCTTCTTGTTACTCTTAACATCTCTCGCTAGCTGCAACTCCAGGTGTGATTTAGCCTTCCTGATTTCATTCCTATATGCCCTACATTCATATTTTACTAAGAAGTACCCACCTCTTATGAGGAATGCAACAGTTTTGGAACTCACACACCAACACTATACAAAGTTCAGAAAAAGTGAAGAACAACCCCATGTCTAATTCTCTATAGGAAATTTTAAACTCTCCATGTAAGCACTTCAGGAGCATTTGAGAGTGCAAATGTGTACTCCCAGAGTCGCTCTGTTGACTTGTAGCTTCATTTTCAGGTGCTGACCTTTCGGATTACTTTAATTATGGATTCAATGAAGAAACATGGAAAGCTTATTGTGAAAAACAGCGACGGCTTCAGCTTGGACTGGATCCCTCTCCGCCTATCAGCAGTGAGAATAAGATCACAGTAAGTAACATGCTTTCCAGTGTGTGGGTGCAGCACAGAAGCCTGCTCATTTTGTGGGCACATAAGTACAAGTCTAAAAATGGAAGCTGGTTTAGAAATGTGATCCTGGAATATTAACTGAAAGGCAAGCTGTCAAGAATGATGGACCTAAACATTTTTTTTTTAGTGGAGATGAGATTAACTCTCCCTCTGCTAATAAGTTGTTCCCTTGCCTGGTTGAATGAGGCACTCCAGCAAACATGGAGATTATCGATACGATGGCAAATAAAAATCCCCTGGGATGGTGAGACTTAGGTGTATTCCCAAAGAAGGCTGTGCCCTCCAGATTGTCCGGCTGTGGAGCTGGGCAGGTAACACAGCCAAAGCCCTCAAGTTGGTGTGTGTGTGAATTTAGTGCTGTGAGAGGTGTAGGGTTGACAGACCATTGACTTAAGTCTGATCTCAGGAGCCAACTGTGATGTGAGGGGCATTGTTTCCCTGGCCTATTCGCTCCTTGGCATCTCTGCCGAGACTTCACCAGTTGTGTTGCCACTTCTTGTGATGTGGACTCCTGCCCACCATGGCCACCAAACTCATTTCACAAGGGCTACCGAATGGCCCTCAGATGGTAACAGCTTTTGGTCACTTGGCAGGATTTGAATGGGTGAGCTAGAGGCAAAAGCCTCCATATCCAATTTCCAGTTTCCTGAATTAAGGACTGGAAAAACAGGACCACAGTCAGGTTAGGTATATCTTGGGGCTTCTAATGGGAATTAAAAATGAGGAAAGTAGGCCAAGTATGGAAAAGTCATTTAACGTGCAAAAATCTGTAATTGACTGAAGATTGGATATTTACTTTGCGTGAACCTTGTCGTCCAATTGGATCATTGCAGATGAATGTTCTGGTTTGCTCCTCGCTGGAGCCTCTTTCTCCTACTAAGAGCAGATCTTCATGACTTATAACTCAGCTGGTAACCAAAGACAGATATGTCTCTCTCTTTTCTTTTTATTCCTCAGGTTCAGCAAGGAAGGACAGGAAATTCAGAGAAAGAACCAGAGAACAACATTATCAAAACGGAATTCAAAACGGATTTTGTGGCTCTGATAGGAGGACGGATGAAGGCTGGGCCTCCACCAAATAGGTAAGGAAGTGTATGGAAGCTGCATTGAAGTTCTCTATTTTAATGTATTAAATAATAGGACAAGTGGGATCCTGCTATTTCTTTGTCTGAGTCTATTATGGACCCCAAACAAGGCAGCAACTTTTAAACTATATTGGATGTTACCCTGTAATTCAATAGTTATCACCCTCCCCAATGACACTCGGCTCTGTAGTTGTGGAAACCACCCCTCCCCCCCAATCTCCATTTCCTTACCCTGTTGGTGTCCCCACTGTTACACCATGTGAGTAGGTAGGCAGACCTGGTGCCATGCTGCATGGTCCCAGCCTTACAAAGGGGAGCTTTGCAGAGGATGGGCTAAGACAAGGAAGTCTTCCTGCTATGGAGCTTCACCTCGTTTGGCTGCTGGTTCTTCCAGAGCCAGGTCCAACTCCCATTGAAGTCAATAAGTCATTCCGTTGCCTTTAACCAGAGCTGGCTCAGGCCTTGGTAATGGACAAGAGGAGCTACTTGGTTTTTGAACTGCCTGCTCTGCATATACTGTCAGTTGGATGTCAGTTTGGTGTTTTTTCCCTAGACAAAGTAAAATGGCTTTTAGTAATTCTAACTGGAAACCTGTACTGGACAACAGTCACCTTCGTGACAATATGGCTCTGATTATTTTTTATAAGGAGCTTTGGGAAACCTGGTTACAGGAAACCAAAGCAGATTTTTCTTTTAAAAATCTGTTTTGCACACCTCTGCTGATCATATCTAGGAACCAGTCCTGAACCTGTGTCTCACTCTTTTCAGTGGAGACTTTGAGTAGAATGAGAAGAGAGGTTCTCTGGGTTCGCTCTGGATTATTCATACTAAAAGAACTTTAAAGTTCCAATTTCTTTCTTTCTGTCTAAGCAGTTAAGTGTGTCTTGCATTTCCCGCCTTCTTGACAGAGAAATCAGACTGATCCGTTTTACTTTCCAGCTCTCGCATGTGATGCTATTCTTTCTCAAAGTCTGTGCAAATCCAACCTGCTCCTACTGAAATAAATGAAAACTTTTCTTTCCTTTTTGGGCTTTGTAAAGTTCCTTTTTCTTTAAGAAAATACATTCTAGCCCTAATACATTTAGCAATGTCCATTTTAACATGGAATCAGTATTGCCTTTATCTAGAGATTGATTTTAATCCAAGTTAATGTGTTTAAATACCTTTGGTGCTATAGCCACAGCAGGTCTCTCTGTTGGCACTAGGATAAATGCCATGAAATTGGACATCTATTGTGCTACTATATCTCAACAATCAGCAGGTTGTGTTTACAAAGTCTTGTTTCCAATGACAGTGGAAATGGGAAGGACAGCAAACTTCACTAGTTTTGTTTAGCTCTGGCCCTTCTGTAACTTGCTTGTACCACAGTAGAAGGTGTTAGGTGTGATCCTACTTCTCGCCGGATGGATTGCAGCAGAAGCTGACTGTGGCGGTGCTGTTTGCAATGGCTTTGTCAGGCAAAAGATGCAGAAGTCACAAACTTTGGGTGGGGGGAATGCAACACTTAATGGGATCCCATTATTTGGAGTCAAGTATCCTTTATTGTTAGTTAAAATACTGTGAACTCTTTTTAGTAAATGACTTCAACAGTTAATTAAAAGCTCATGTGGCTTTCCAGTAGAGCCAGACTGAAATTTCCTGGTGGAGTTTCACTCAGTAAGGGGCTGGCTAGAATGGCCCAGACCTGGGTTTATGTCCTAACATCAGCTACTGTCAAAAAGTCATGACAAATTCACAGCCTTCGGGAGGAGGGGGACTTTGCATCCTTTAAAGGATCAGGCCCTTCATGAGCTGCTGTCTCTGCACAAGAAACTCTAACCTGTCTATTCAGATAGTCCCAACTGCCTTGTCACTTGGTCTTTATTACTGAAAATATTTTCATAAACCTACGTTTGATTCCTAAAATCCCTTCAACTCTCCTGCTTCTCCTTCATCCCCCAAATCCTGTGCTTGTGACATCACAGCTGTGAAAATAGTTGTCCCCAGTATAGGATTTTGAATAAGCAACAAGAAGATACAAATTCTTGAGAAACAAAGATCCTGGGCTGATTTTGATCTAACTAGGGTAACCAACAGCAGAATTTGCTCCCCTGTTTATATGCAAACACCCTTTATTAATATAACGCCCCGTCTTGCTCCCATTACAGCCAGTGGTAAAACTCCCTGACTTCTTTGAGAGGAGGACTGGGCCTAGGAATAGAGGCAAAAAATGTGTCCAACAGTCAGAATTGTAACCAAAGAGAGTATTTGGTTTAGAGTGATGGTCTATGAGTGTTAGCATGGATCCATCATGAAATGGTGCAAATTTGGAGCTGTCTCTGGTCTAAGGGCCTCAAGTGCTGTGCGCTCTCCACTCCTGCTAGACCTGTTTGCAAGGGCATTGGGCCTGATCCTGCAACCTGTACTCACTTGAGTAGTCTTATTGAAGGGTAGGTGAGTGACAGTTTTCAGGGTCTGAACTGGAGATGTTCAACACCCCCTTCTCCCTCTGAAGCCGGTAGAATATTCTTCACATCTCAGGATCAAGCACAAAGTGGTGTCTAAAGAGACCTAACTCTCTCTATCTGTAGCCAGAGCTCAAGTTGTGCACATGCAGCAAAGGATTCCCCACCTTTCTACTGTGTTTCCCTGCCAGTTTGAGCTCTGCCTGGAGTGATTTTTCCCTAGGTGGAAAAGAATGTGCTTGGCCTTTTTGCTTTAGTTCTCCCAGCATGAGAGAGGGCTCTCTGTTGAGGGGGCGGGGGGGAGAAAAACTATTACTTCTAATTTCTGTGCTGAACCTGAGAAGATATATCTACTTTGTACCAGGAAGCTGGGTGGGACAATTGATGTGATTGGTGGACAGGCAGGCACTATTAGGAGGGTAGAAGGAAGACGCCGCGATAAACACGCCTCAGAGGAAAATCCCATTCAGGTAAACAGCTTCAAGCTGTCTTCAAACATTTGATATCCCGTGCACTTTCAGATGAACTTTGAGCAATTGTCTGCACTTTCCTGACTGTCTACTTCTGTAAAATATGGGGTTTGTTTTAAATGGACACTGTCAAGATTGCAAAATAAATCACCAATCATAACGTATGCACATGCCATTGCCCCCCTATTGGGTGGAATCAGAACTCAACTGTATCATCAGCCCTACAGTGCTAATGGAGATTCTCTTCCCCCCACCCCTCCCACACACACTGGGACTTCTGTTTTTTGAGCAGGAGGGTCCGAGCTCCCTACTGCCATCATGATATTCAGCAAATGTTAACTGTGAAGTTCCTAGATGGATTTGTTAGTGGTTTTTTTGTTTTTTTTTTTAAGCCATACCTTGTTACGAATGTGTTCTCCTTTTAAACCTGAAAGAATTGTAACAATCCAATTTACTTTGTGTTAATTGCTGTCATTTACCTTTTTCTCATGTTGGACCGTAAAACTATTCTGGTCATTTTTCTTTTTCCATTCCCATGCACTAACCTAGTGCTGTTGTGTGGGGGTTTCCAACATTACTAGGGAATATTTATGTATTTTTTTTGTCATTTTAAAAAAATAAATAACATTCATGTCAGTTGTTGTTCGACATTCTTCACCCTGCAGAGTCTTAGTGTTGGGACTCTACTACTTAATGATGTCTTTAAAGGGGACAAAAAAATCAAGTTACAAACTGTGGGCCTGTTCTGATCTCACTTCAGTGTAACTCCATTGACTTCAGTGGTATCATCCCATATAAAACCTAATGCCCATATTCTGCTGGGATTCTCAGCAGACAGAAGCGAGGGGTTTTCAGAGAGTCCCCAGAACCTTCTGACCAGAACAATTCTTTTCTATCTGTCCCCTCCAACGCAAAAAACTAGTGTGCATGACCCCCCAAAATCTTTTATAAAATAACAATGTTGGGAAAGTGCAAACAAACCTTTTACTAAGGGTAGGCCCCAGTGGTGCATCAAGGCTAAATCTGCTTAGTAAATTCTTCTTCCCTTTACCAAGCGCTGGTGTCTGCATATCCAAATCATTTTGGTGTTTGCTGTATACTGAACTTTAAAATAGTGGCAATGTGAACATAAAGGGCCAAATTCTCTTGCCAGTTAGACTGGTGTGACTCCAGCAGTGCTCCGTTAATTTTGATGGTGGATTTACACTGATGCAACTAGGAGCAGAATTTGACCTCATACTGTATTTGTGAAGAAAGCAAATTGGATGCACTTCAAAAACAAATTTTTGAACAGAATTGTCTGTTTAATAAGAGTTAGCATATCACCACTCGAATGGGGCTGCTCTTATTTTGAGGGCTGTGATGTGGGGCCTGATCTCAAGAGTGGCTGTGTTCAGCCCCTCTTGGGATCCGGTTTTTGGCTAGTTCTAAGGGTATTATTAACGTAAGGGGCATGCAAGTGACCCATTCAGTCATAATTCTGTGCATCCCTGGGGGAGGGGTATCTCGCATAGGAGTAGATTTGTAGCTAGCTTGGACTCTACCACTTGCTGTGTTCATGCTAGCAAAGATGTTTGTTGGCAGGGCATTTCCTTGCATGCTGAGCTTGTGACCTCTCCCCTGTAGTGTGTCTAAAAGGCTGAGACTGTCCCCGACTTACTCCCTCCCTGTAATGTTGGGGTGCTTGGGTTCTGTGGCACATGACCCTTTTGCCAGCACTGGGAGGCACTGACTGCAGGCTCCAAGGGGTAAAATACCATCTTCTATTTTCTGTCTGTTTTTGTTTTAAAGGTTCTTGGAGATCATGGAACTAAGCCACAACCCCCACAGCAGCCCCAGCAACCATCACAGCCCCAGCAGCCACCTCAGCAACAGCCGTTTGTACCACCAGCAGGTCCCCCACCTCCCCCAATTGCTGGGCCACCCCCACCACACTTTCTCCACCCTCCCCCTCCAGTTACTTCTGTCCCACCTCCTCTGCATCCTCCAGGTAGGTATTTGCTCTGAATACAGAGCAATCTTGATTGCCCAGCAATCTCTGAGTGTGTTAAGTTCAGATACCTGAGGCTTGGGGAAATCAAAGGAATATTTAGTATAATTAAGAAATGTTAAGGGACAGTTGAGCAGCCATGTATCATATCACTGAGATTCCACTAACTCAAACTGCAACTCAGACAGCTGGGGAACCCTCCCTGCCTTCAGATATATATATGCTTTCAAACTCTTCAGGGCTGCTGTTCCTCTTGAATGGCTCTCAGTGTTTTGTTTCAGTCGCTGATGTCACTTGGATACCATGCTGCTTGGCATCTTACACATGGATAAGTAGACTAGCAATTTCTATTAATCTTTGAAGGAAGATAGGAACATAGGAATTGCCTCATTGGATCAGAATAGCGTGCTATCTAGATAGTCCAGGATCCTCTCTGACAGATACTTCAGAGGAAGGTGAGACACCCCGTCCGTAATGGACAGTTCTGGAATAATCTGCTTAGAGGGGAAGTTTCTTTCTTACTCAGGTTGGGTGGTGGTTAGTTTGTGCCCTGAAGTCTAAGGGTTCATATCCCTTCTATATGTGTATCCTATACATTTTATCATACCTTGTGTCACTGTGGGATATTACTTGTATAAACATCTGAGAGTGTAAGCAGGTATTAGAGTTCTGCCCATTTTATTTTTCACTTTTAAGAGAATAGTGTGAATGTATGTGCAAATGAGGGGCCTCCCATGGACTCCTGGCAAGCTGTCAGTGTCTCTCAATGTCGTCAAGTTTGTGCTCCCTTACAGAGATTGAGTAGGTAGGCGTGGTGTTGAGTGCACTTGGCACTTAAGAAGACTCACTGAACTTAAAAATCACATCTCCCAGAATGCTTTTTACCTACGGTAGTTACAATGCCTAGGAGGCTAGAACCTAATGAGATAGAGGGAGGGTGCCTCTATTTTTGTCTGGGTATCCCCCCTTTGTGTCTTTGGCAATATTTTGCATAAATCAGTTTCTCTTTCTCCTGCACAGTCACTCACCTTCCTCTGATGTTTGTATGGATCTTACACAATAGCAAGAGGGGGAGAGAAATTTTAACAACAAAAGGGGGGGAAAAAAGCCACTCGGCAGGGGGACTTGAGTATTTGTAGACCTGAAACTATTTTAAATTTATTTTTAGAGTGACTAGATTTCAAGTGGATGGTGGTTCCTTGTATAATAAATGTAACTGTGACAAATTGGTGTATGCTTCACACCTAACTTTAGAGAGGGGCTGATTAGATAGCGGGATTACATTGTTTTCCTGAAGGAAAGGAGCATTGTTCAGTGGTAAGAGCAGGGCTATGGGGGTCAGGAGTCTCAGGTTCTACTCCCATTTCTGCTACTTGATGCACTGTGTGACACACCTTCCTGGAGATAACCTATGTGAATTGGGGTTAGATTAGTATTTATTTTCTAGAGAGGAACCAAAATCGTCTCTTTAAAAACATCTGGTTCAGTAGTGCGTGTTGATCCTGGTCCAGAGATTAAGATTAGACATATTTACTCTGAATGGACAGTTTGTCATTCATTTATCTTTGATCTAGTGTTGCATGAGTCAGTGTCTCAGGTGAAAGCTAATTAGTCCTTTAAACTCTGTTGCTAAAATCACGGTTAGACTTAGGACTGTAGTGGTTTCACATGTATACCTGTCATTGACGTCAAGTGGAGTTTTGGATCAGCCTTTTAGAAAAATGTGCAGGCAAAGACCAAGATGGCTTGCTCATTCATGGGCATTTGCCTGCTGACTGTCCAGGGTGTGCACGGTGTCAGAATCCTATTGATTCCTTTTGCTAACTAAGCACCATGAGCAATGGCCTGAAACACCTTTTTCCATTTACTACAAACAAGGCTGTGCCTCTTCCACTCAAAAATTGACCTCACTATGGTGATCAGTGCCTTTATTACTGGTGGGCTAGAATACTGAAGTGAAGGCCAAACTTTGGACTTTACCTCGTCCAGCATGCAGCAGCTAGTCTCCTGACTGGAAGAGGTCAGCAAGAGCCTATCATACTAGTGCTTCTCTCTTCGGTGGCTTCCTTTTCTGCAGATCCAGAATAAATATGCTTTCAGGGCATCTAATCCATGGAGAACATTATTGTGTTGCCTGAGTGGATGAAGTAATAGCCTCCTTGGTCTTTTCTGCCTCATTTCTATGATGGCTAAAGGGGGGGGGGGGGGGAAGTGAACAGTTTTTACTGTATATCTGTTTGCTGAAATATACTTGGCCTCAAACTTTTTGAAGAGGATACTACTAAACCAGGCTCATTAGCTTGCAGTAACAAAAGAATGTTAATATCTTGTTATTCTCACTAAGTTTGTTTTCTTATTTCCATAGGCTTGCCACCACCAGGTCCCATTCCAGGTAAGCTAATGATTTGCTTTTAACAGTGGCAGTGAGTCAGAATAGTAGTATGAAATGGAGTGGCTGCATCTTACCTTGAGCTCATTCAGACTTAGGCTAAGGTAAGCAGTGCAATCTCAAACTCCTTCAACTGCTTAACTTATAGAGCTCAATAATGATCCATAGGGCCACTTAAAACAATCATTTTATTTCAGAAGAATAATCCAGAAAGCAACTTGGAGAGCTTGGTTGGCAGAGGACATCATGAAAGTTTTTTGGTTAAATTTCAGAAGATCTAACTTGTGTCATCATGGGATCTCACATAGTGATGAGTCTTTTACATGAAGCACTTTGATTTGGTAGGATTTCAGAGAGAGTGTGAGAACAAAGGGGCAACAATGGCCTTTTTTGTTGGAAGTTCTCTTTCCCATGACGTACAGTAGAGTTGGTGAACGGTAACAAACCAAATGTAACAAATAAGCTTGAGCCCAAGCTGGAAGAGCCCCAGACTTTGAGGAGCTTCAGATCCTGATTGGAACTTCTCATCTAAGTGTATATAATATTGCAGAATGGATTATTTTTGTTATTGAATGGACCCTGCTCATAGTGAGCTTGGATCTAGGGAAATGCCACCTCTAGCAAAGCAGAGCACAAATCCCAGCCTACTTCTGGGCGCTGCTGTTGCCAGTTGCAATTCTGGTTCCATCTAGATTAAAGTTATGATGGGCTGGAGGGGAAGGAAATGACTTTAGCTATAGTGGAAGCTCCATATAGAGTAATTGGATTGAAAAGTGTAATGCATGGAAAATATCCTGTGATGATTTTTAGTTCTACGGTAATTAGAGGAAGGTTCATGACTCACTAATAACGATCAGAGATTTGTCTCAACAATAGCAACTGCTCTAGAGGGATGAGTTCATAAGCATTACAACTTTCTCTAGTCATATTATCTACAGATTAAAAATCTTTCAAAAATAGGGAAGGGGGAAATCTTGATGATTGAGTGTCAGAATAACTTAAGAAAACACATTCTTTTAAAATAACAAAAACAAATCTTTACACTGGAAGAAACTAATGGTTCACTTAGCGTGATGTCCTTACCATTGGTAATGGCTTATGCAAGAACTTCTTGTTTGTTTGAAACTGGTAAAATTTTCAAAATCACCCAAGTCTCATTTTCAAAAGTGATTTAGCCACTTTGAAAGTCAATGGGATTTAGAAGCCTGGGTATGCAAGTCACTTTTAAAAAGTGGAAAGAGATCGTGTGGGGCCCTTCTAACATCCATTTAACTGTCTAGTTTGTGCTCTGCCCTACCGTGGTTTCTGCCTTCTACGGTGTAGTTATGGTCAGAAAAGTGATTTTCCCAAAAGAGTACAGTAGGCTTCCGTGTTGCATGTCACATTCAATCAATGTACAGCTAAAACCATCATTCTATTTACAGTCAGCCCTAGGGATTTCGACCTGGGATCTTAGAGCCGAGCCTTCAGTTCTCCATGGGACTGCACAGGTTTAATGTAGGGGGAAATTTTCACTCTGTACTTGAGTTGATATTTTGTTGATGGTGCACAAGCCAGAATAGAGTCTGGCTCCTTTTTCTTTAGCTGTGCTGTCTCTGTAGGGCACATAGGAGTAAAAAGCAGTAGAGGTTCAGTTGTGGTAAGGTCATATGGCTCTGAATACACTCAGGGGTGTGAGTTTGTGGAGTAAGAAGGTGCCATTTCCACAACTGTTCAGAGTAGAACTGTGCTTTAATTACCTGATTTCTGGGGGAGTCTAGCCCCACACTGTAAGCCTGCTGCAGCCTCATCTTGACACTGTGCTTTTATTTATAGGGCTGTTCCCTCCACCTCTGGCTCCTCCACCAGCTCTTCTCATTCCAACACTTGATGGGTAAGGCAGAACCTTCCTTTGAGTAGATAATTTTCCATTCTGGTTTTACACAGCTGAATGTAAATGTAAAAGGGACATTAAAATGACAGTAAAATGGAATTACTCTGGGTGGGAGGCATAGTAGAGAAGTAGAAGCTATCTTGTTTCTTTCACAGTTTTAAGAATTGTGAAGAATCTTTAAGAAGTGCTAAGAATCAAGGTATCTTGAGGAGCAGGATGTGGGGATACTGTAACTAGGTGTGCTACATAGTAGGAGACCCATAAGCATGGCCATATGGTATCTGGGAATGCTAGGTTTGTGTTTAGAATATTTGTAACTTACAACCTGCACCTGGTTTGAAAGGGGAGCATGAACTGCCAAGTTTGCAGTGAACTCTTGCTCCAATGCTTTAATCTGTTGCAGCAAACTTCGCCCTTGGTTTGTCAGTTTACTGGTATCTTGCCATGTCACACACATGCTAGGAATATGTTCACGACCAGTATTGGGAATTGTATTGTCACTTTCACGGTGTTCTTAATAATGCCATTTTGCATTTCCCTGGCAGTTTTCATCCAAGGATCTTAGAGCACTTTGCTGCTATGAATTATTTCTTATGAAGCATTATGAGCCTCGTGTAGATTGGGGAGGATGATGGAAGACTAATGCTCGTGGAGGCAAAGGGTCTTGCCCAAGAACACAGAACAGGCTCATGGCAGAGCCAGGAATATAACTTAAATTGCCAGACTCCCAGTCCACCACACCACATCATGCTTCAGGGAGCCGTCTGTGAGGTGAAAGGTCATCTTGCATGGCTAAAGTTCCCAGATGGCCTCCCCCCCCAAAAGAAGAATGGTTGGAGATCCTTGCATGAAAAATGCTATGGAGGGCAAAACGTTGTTGCTGTTTGAGTAGCATAACACATGGCTTTATAGCTATTAAAGAAAATCTCATTTCATTCAAATCGCCATTCCTTCCATCCCCAAATGATCTGCCACCATCTGCTAGAGATGAACAAACTCTGTATTACGTTAATTTATACAATTTTTTGCCCAAAACGTGAGTGAACCTAAGTAGAACCTTTCCTCAGACTCTGATAAGCTTTCCTCACTTCTCATTTCCAGCACAATCTTCCATTTTCACACTGCCTCTGGCCTTTTCAAGACTGACCATTTTCCTGAATTTTGGTGTGGCCGCTGCAGGACATCATGGCAAAGAGGAAGGAGGATCTGTGACTAGAGGGAGGGGAGACTGTCAGGGCTTCTGGCCAGATCCAGTCCCTCACTTCTTATCTCCATCCTCCCGGCAAGACCTCCCACTCTGTCCTGCCTCTCCCTGCTACCAGATCCCACATCCACCCTCAACCCAGGGCAATGGAGGGAAACAGCAGCAGCGGAGTGGAGACTTGTTGTTGGTCTGGAGACCAGGCAGGTGTGAAGAACCCAGCTTGGATTTCAGAAGTTGAACAGAAAAGCAAGGGGGTTAGGAGGAGACTTGTGGCATCTGTGGGGCGGGGAGGAGTCCTGTCTTAATCTCTCCATTGAGTTAACAATATTGCAGGTTCCTGCTCTGTATGCTAAACTGATGGCAGGTAACTGATGTTAGTAACTGGTGTCCTTGTGTTCTCTCCAAAGCCAACCTGCCGGCTACAATAACAGGCAGCCTCCACCATTTGGATACAGCTCTGCAGGTGAGCACAGAAGCTACAGAATGGTGGAACTGACTGGGCATGGGGCTGGCCAGAGGGTTGTTGGTAACTTACCCTTGTGCTAGGCTGACCTATGCCTCTGTCACTGTGACCTTTGAAGCTGTGTCTGCGTTCCAGACAGCCCAGTCGCTGACAGCGGGTGTCAGTAATGGGCCTAACAGTAAACGTTCTAGACCAGGGGTGGGCAAACTTTGGCCCAAGGACCACATAGAAGTTGCAAAACTGTATGGAGGGCTAGGTAGGGAAGGCTGTGCCTCCCCAAACAGCCTGGCTCCTGCCCCCTATCTGTCTGACTGCCCCCTGGAACCCGCCCCCTGGAACTTACACCTATTCAGGCCCCCCCGATTCATCCAACTGCTCCCTGTCTCCTGACTGTGCCCCCTGGGGCTCAGTGCTCCCTGCCCCCTTACCATGTTGGAGCTAGCCATGCTGCCCGGCAAGAGCGGCAGGCCAGAGCGCTGGCAGTGTGGCATGCTGAGGCTGTGGGGGGGGGGCCTCAGGGGCTGGGCAGGACGGTCCTGCGGGCTGGATGTGGCCCGCGGGCCGTAATTTGCCCACCTCTGTTCTAGACAGTCTTAGATCAGCTGCACTCTCTGAAGTGACTCTGACCCAGGTGATGCTTGTAATTAAACAGTTCTCATTCCTGTTTCAGCTGCTCTCAGCACCCAACTCCCATGTCAGCAACAGTGCAGCCATGGGTCCCTGTGCCCTAGTTGTAATCCTAGCTTTTTCCAGGGAAGAACACACCCTCAGCCAAATTTCAGACTTTCCTGCATGAGCCCTTGAATGTCCCCCTCCCACCCCTGCTGTATCTTCACTCTGTGCTACATGTACACACCCTGCCTATGCACACTCACAGGAACCTGTCTCCTTTAGTTTCCTGCTGGAAGATGCAGTGACAGTGTTTCAGTAGATCTCCTTCCCCGCTACACTCTGCCCGTGCTGCCCATGTCCTTTCCTGTTTCTTTAGTACCCAGCTTGCTCCTGCCCTGGGTCAGCGGCACTTACAAGTGGTGCCTGTCTCCGTCGAGCAGGCAGGATTGCAGGTGCTGACACCTTCCTCCCCCTTTTTGGGGAGAGGAAGGTAGGGACTGCAGAGCCTGGGTATGAGGCATCTTGAGAAACTGCAGCCTTCTAATCTAGTATTCCCTCAAATAAACATCCCAGCAGCAGCCTATACCGGCTCAGGCTGTGACCTCGATGACCCTTTCCAATGAAGCAGGGCAATGGCAGGTCAATATGTGACTAAGACACCTCCAGGGAGGTTAGTGGTGGTCTGGGATTCACTAGGTATCACTCTTCCTTTAGCCAGCACTGAGACCTCTGCATGATATTTCAAAGCATTTCTTAATTCAACATCTGATAGAGAAGGAACCTGGGATTTACCTGCTGCAGGCACCAGCCCCGACCCTGCAAGGGGTTGGAGACCAGACCTCTTGCTCTCTGAGCTAACAGGGCTGGCTGGGAATCTTGAAGACCAAACTATAGACTCTGCTGGCTAATCAAAGAGACATACCGTCAGGGCTTCTCAGGGCTTCTCTTTGTCTTGTCCTCCTGCTCAGAGGATGCTTCCTGGGGAAGGAAGAAATCATGGGGCTTCCTGGGGGAAGACCAATAACATGGCCAAGTGGGCAGCTGTGACCCACAGAGGGCAGGTCTCAGCAGCTCCTGATTGAATATCCTTAATCAGTGCCTGGAGTAATTGCAGCAACATCTGCGTGTTTCTGGCCTAGGGAGATAATGCTTAAAACTTGTTAGAATATCATACATGAATATGCAAGGGGAAAATGAGGGGCTCCTGGGTGAAGAGGTGGGGGTTGGGTTAGTGCTTATTCAGAGGGAGGAGTGTCACTTCCTGATCCAGCAGTACCACTAACTGGAGCACCTACATGTTACTGGGTGAGTCCCAATCCCAGACCTGACCTAGAGCAAACCTGTTTAGGTTGCAGGATCTGACGAAATTGCTGCCCAGTGTGGCCTGGTTGCAGAGTGCAGAGAAGCATGTCGTCTTTCCTCGCTGGGTCAGCATAAGGGGCAGCACTAACCCTTCAGACGAGTGACGGTTCTGCTCTCTCACTGCAGATTCTGGTTTCATCAGCTACCCTCCTATTTCCACGTCTCACACGCCCTGGGTAACGACAGTGGATAAGGGCACAAGCAGCTCCAGCAGCAGCCACTGGGAGTACTCCAGCTCAAGGCGTGAGAGAGAAAGGGAGCGGGAAAGGGAAAGGGAGAGAGACAGAGACCGGACTCCAACCACCAGTGAATACAACAAGTAAGCACGGTAGTCCGTGTGACACTGCCATGGCCTCCCAGGGAGGGGGCTAGGCTCTGCCAGATGAGAGCATGGAAGTTATTACCACACTTACAGTTGTCTTGTTGGAGGAATCGGTGGTGACATGTGCGTACTAAGCTCCGCTAGGAGGAGACAGCACTGGTCAGTAACTAGAGCACAAGAACGAGAGATAGGACACCTGGGTTCTCCTCAGTTGTTGACTTGGTATGCAGCCACATAATCTCCATGCCTCAGTTTCTCTGCTTGGAATACAGGGCTAATGACATATATCCACCTCTTCTGTAAGGCACTTTGTGGTCTCTGCATGACAAGTTCTATACAAATGCTAGGTACCATTAATTATTCTGTAGTTTCAAGATGACCGTTGAAAAGCTTCTAAATTTAACAATGTTGATGGGAAACTGCCCCCTTTTGCTGAGGCCCATGGTTTGAAAGCTTTTGGGATAAGGAGCACTGTTCACTGTGAACCTGCCATGCAGTGTAAACCCTTAATGACAATGGGCATTTCTCTGGAGACAACCACCTTGCTGGAAATTAAGTGTGATTTAAGGGGACAATAGCCATGAGAGAGCTCAGTGGAGGAGGCTGCAAACCAGAGAGACAGGAAAGATTAGATGGTTGCTGTTCTTTCAATGCAGTTGCTTTGCACACTCCCACATAGGGCTCTCGTGCTGTTACTGTTGTCACAAGTACTATTGATATTTCTACAAGCATCATGCCCAGCAATACCAGTAGTTTCTGAAAACATCATCAGAATATATGTATATTCCTGGCAAAGGGTACTGCTTGCTCTGGGAACTTCCAGGCCACTGAGCCGAGCAAACAAGGCTGTTTTCTTGTAACAAAGAGCTTTTTAAAAAGGCTTCAGGTATTTTGGAAGGTGATCAGGCAGGGAAGGAATGAGCATGTTAACATACTGGAATTTGTAAGGCTCCTGGAATTCTGGGGACACGAATCATGTGATCTGCTTAGCACTCCAGGCATCGTGCTAGCATTTTTAGTTGCTGTAGAGTATGTTGGCATGTAGGAGCTTAAATTGTATTCACCAGGTAGGGCAAGTTACGGTAATTGGTTAATCCCTTTCTGAGGTGATCCTTCCCAGATGATAGCTCTTTCTTTGATTCTGGCTGATTGCTTCTATTTTGGGAGTGTTCTTCTTTAACTTGTTTCCATAGGTCACAAAACTGCACTTCAGGTTTTTTCCCCAAATGTTTCATTCTTGTTTCCAATGATGGGACTTGGGATCTTTTTGAGGTGTAGTGTTCAATGTCTTTATGGAGAAGAGGAGTTATAAGACAGGCATAGGGGAGAAGAGAGTGGGAATTAAAGAATGTGTCTGAATTTTGGATATGCAGTTTTATATAGAAGAGGGTGAGATGTTTAGGCTGGAGAAAGGGTGCAGACCATAAGATCATGTGGTCTCTGTGTGCATCATACAGTTTCCTTGGGTGCGTGTATGTGTATTTATCTGTATTTGTGTGTAAATAAATAAAAATAGACTCAAAGTGGCAGATGCTCCATGACTTGCATGATGTAAAAGTAGCCTGAACAAAAGTACTGCAGAGTACAGTTCTGCACTAGTAGAGTGGAGAGATACAAAGACCACATTTCTGGGCCACTTTGGTCATTTCCTTCTAGTTTATGGAAAACGTAGAGCAAGACTGATCAATGGAGAGAAGGCATGTCATAATTGTGTTCCAGAAAGACCACCTGGGCAAAGGCCAGGTCCTCTACCACACACTCATGTGTAAGAATAGTCCTTAGACTCTTATACATCCTTATAGAAACTCTAAACCATTCTCTTTAGTTGAGATCTCCTATACCTTATGTTGGAGGGGTTGGAGTGTGTTGTGGGAGGGCCAGGGATGGGAATAGGAAACTATTATTTCTGTGTTTATTATTACAGACAGTTGCATGAATGTTTGTTGAAACGTGTGTGTTGATCTGAACTCCAGTGTTGCTTCTGAGCTCTGATAAAGCAGCTTATGGACGTGCGAGGGTTTTTCCTTTTAAATATCTGTTCTGATTGTGCTAGTGGAGAATTCCAGACAAAATCAACATTGCACTTTGCCGAGAGGAGATGTTTCCCTTGGGAGGATGGGGGTCTTCATGTAGGTCAGGTTGTGAGTAGATGAGGCCCTCTGAGACCCTGGGATTTCACAGGCTTCATGAACATAACTCATAATGTATTAGAGGGCAGGCTCAAGTGCTAATGAGTAGCGTATTTTTCCCCCTCCCTCTGTCTAGCAGCTCCCCCTGCCTCACGGTACGCTTGTCTCTCCCCCAAAGCGACGACGAGCGATATCGCTACTACAGTCGGGAGCGAGGTTATGATTTTGAGCGGGATTATCGCAGGAGTAGAGATCGGAGCAGAGAGCGGGAGGATCGCCACCGGGAGCGCAGGCACAGAGAAAAGGAGGACAGCAGTAAACATAAGTCTTCAAGACGGTAAGATTCCTTGTTGGTGCAGCACACCCTTTAAGTGGGAGTGGATCTTGGCTCAGGACAGAGGCTGGAATATCCACAGCAAACCTAACCTCTAGTCCATTCTGGCATTGCCTATGCCTGTGACATTGTCCATGATCTGATGCTTCAGAAGAAGGCAAAATCCCATAAGTAATGCATCTGGCCAGGGGTTCAGAGCCATCCTTGGTAGGGGAAGGATTCCTTTGTATTACTGTGTATTCATATTGTACATTCTAGAGGAGCAAGGGGATCTGGCAAAGCACCATTAACTTTCCATGAAAAATGTCAAACTAAAATAGGAAGAAAAACTCAGCTGTGCTCTGCTGGAACAATGGACCTGTCCACTCCAAGGGGTGTGCACGGGACGGAGGGTTCAGTCCACCAGTCTGGACCCTGGGTGGTAGGCAGGCTCTAGCTGGAGCCCCTCACCTGCCCCGGGGTGACAGCTAAAGCTGTAAGTGACTGACAAGAAAAGCAGCCAACAGCTGACATAAGTAACTGACAGTGTTGATATGGATACTGCGTCATCCTGACTACACCGACATAAGCTCTATGCCTCTCGTGGAGGTGGAGTTATGATGTCGACGTAGTAGGGCACTTACATGGAGGGAGCAAGGCTGCAGTATGTACACTGACATAATTAGGTTGATGTAAGCTGCCTTACGTCGACCTAACTGTAGTGTAGACCAGGCCTTAGCGTTTCAGGCTGGGCTGCTTCTATGGAGGAGGGAGAATAATGATGCCTTCTCCATGTATCAGAAAAACCTTCTCTCTGGAGACTGGTGGTAAAATGCTGTTCTCATCTTTCAGGATGCGCATGAATTTCTCCAGGAGGTACTGACTGCTCTCTTGATGTAAAGGAAGGTTTAGAATCTCACAAGAGGGTGGGAACCACAATGAAATCCAAATGGAAAACAAATGGAAGCTGGTGCTAGTTTAATAACAATACTCCTGATACCCAAGAGATCTGATGTTGTAGTAGAAATACAGCAAATCGCTTGGCTGTACAGGCGGCATGTACTCTCTTGAAATGATGCCAAAAGCCATTAGAGTGCTTCGATAGGGAATTAGGATACAGAATGCCAACTGGAAATGAAACACAGATGGATTTTCCTCTTGCTGTCTTTAAAAGCAAGCACTCCCCCGTTTGAGCAGCCCAGAGTGCTTGGATGAGAATTTTGTTCCACTGAGTAAATGGTGAAATCCACGTACAGTGTTTTTAAAGGTGGCTCTGAATTACAATTGCATTTTGGAGCCTAGTGCTTGAGGTTATCATGCTGGTAAGCTCTGATGTCATGTGGGATCCTTGCAGTAGGAGAAGGGGCTGCAGTGCAGTTTTCAACTTGCTTTAGGTTAGATTTAAGTCTGAAGAAAATCTGTCATGTTTAGAAATAAAGTCCCCATTTTAAATGTTCAAGACCTTTGAGAGGAAGGATGGCTGTGTGGTCAGAGCACGGGGTTGAAAACAAGCAGAAGTAAGTTCAGTTCCTGGCTCTGCCATTGATGTGTTGGGTGACTGGCTAGGAGATATCATCTGTCTCCCAGGATGCTGGGAGGCTTATCTCTCTGTGCAGGAAATGCTGTGAGATCCTTGGAGGGAAGGTATTAAGTTATCAATATGCGAAGAGTGGTTTCTTTTTATGATAATAGAACTATGATTAAAGCAAGTTAGAAACTGACTTGCAGCCTTGGGATTTTTACACAGAGCCTGTGTTCAGCAAGAGGTGTACCTCCACCACTGGGTTTGGGAATGCCAGTTATAATAAGAATGTGTTTGTGTATCTTATCTATACACATGTTCTGCGTGAAGGTATCCATGTGCTAAACTCCATGTACATTCCCCTGGGAGCTACTCCTCTGCACTTTCTCCCCTACACAACCCTGCTGCATTGGTTTGTCCATTCTCAACCTGCAGAGCAACTTCTCTTTTTGAAAAGAAAACCTGGCAGAGAAACTTTTACACTTTTGGGAAGCAGGAAAGAACCTTCCCACACAGTCCTGTGGCCTGAGACTTAGGATGGGGAAAGCTCAGTCCTTGGCCAGCACCTGGCTTATCAGAGGTAGAATTGGGCTGTTTTGTCCAGTTAGGAAGTCAGCAGTTGTCTCTGCCAGTGGGATCAGTCTTTTCTTTCCAGCCCGGGTAAGTCCCAAGAGATTCTGCATAGAAAAGCTGGCGTAGGTAAATTTTTCAACAGTCTCTCAAATTTATTGTCTACACAGTCTGCATTCCCTCCTGCCACATATTATTGGAGCCCGGCTTTTACAGATGGAGAGATACCAAAAATAGTTGTAGTAAAAGCCAGAAACTATTCCTACAACAACCTCTGTCAAATATGTGGCACATATTGGTGCACCATGGCAGAAAGGATTTATCAGCATCCAGCTGGGCCAACCTGTGTAACTCCCTCATGGATTTGACATTCATGAGTAACAAGAGCGTCCTTGAACAAGTGCTGATAAAAACCTTTCTATGGCATCACGTTCTCAGCGTGTGTAATCTCGATCACGTTTATTCTAGGTCACAAACATGTCATCCTTGTCAGCACCTTTTGTCGTAGGTACAATTGAACTTCTGGGGCAGTTGGCCGTGCTGACGCTTGATTCTGGTTTCTCTCCCCCTTCCCCCTCATTGCAGTAAGCAGCACGAGAGTGAAGAGGGTGAAAGCCACCGGCGCCACAAGCACAAAAAGAACAAGCGCAGCAAAGAGGAGAAGGAGGCCAGTGATGACGGCGTCGCAGAGGGAGATGAACAAGATGCTAAGGAGTAATGGCCCCCAGCTCTCCTTTAGGAGAGACTTGCTCCTTTGTGAGCAGCATGGCATCTAACTTTATTTTCCAAGGGAAGCAGAGATGACTCTGGTGGCCAGGTATTGAAATGCAATGTGACAGCTCAAGCGTTAAGGCTGAACACACAGTTAAACTTGGATACGAGACAAAGTATGGCAGTGATAGTATATACAGCACTGAGCTACTCTTCTTGTAAACGACCCTAGAAGAACTTCATTGTATCAGATCCTATGGTTTCTGATGAAAGACAGCTTCAGCTGAAACTAATGTATTTAGGTAATAGGGTTTTTTTGCGCAACCATGGTTCCTTTTTTTAAAAAGTAGGACAGTAACTGCAACTTGAACTTTATTGTCCAAAGAAAAGTGTGATTTAGGTCCTCTGTGAGCCAGCTTAGAATCTGGCATCTGTTAGTGAAAGTGTCATCCCCCAAATCCATTTCTTCATAGCTATGAAAGTATCTTTCATTCATCCATGGCAGGATTGGCAGCATATGGAAAGGAACTACTTTCAGGTGTGTCATTTGAACCTGCTTTGGTCTAATGGCTTTTAAAAGGTAGGGCATTCAGAGACTTCAAACCCAACTTTTTTTTAAACCGATTGAGAATGTAGTTCTACCACATGTTATACCTGTAAATGGAAAGTCATCTTCTGTGGAAGACTGTGGTGAGAGCAGGAGTTTTTTTTTAATTAGTTTGGATTTTTGGTAACAATTGAGATAAATAATCTAACACCTTAGGGAACATGCAGTTTGACGTTGGGTTTACTTATTTATATTCAGCATCACTAATATACCTGTGCAATGCATTTCTCCCCCCTAAGATCTCAGAATAAATGCAATCAAATTTCATGCTCTGTTTGATTTAGGGTTTTTTTGTTTTGTTTTAAAACAGAGAAACTTCAGTGGAAAGTGGGGGTTTGTTATGTATACCTGGTTCTTACACAGAATACTGCACTTGTTTGTGTGAATCCACAAGTCTCATTTTAAATATCTTCCACTTCTATGAATTGATATTTAAAAATGTCTTAAATCCTTCCTCAAAATAAGATGGTTTTGAAATTTTACATATGATTTTTTTGTACTGTAGTTATGCAAGTCTGAGTGTTGTGTGAAGCTTACAACCTTTAAAACTTGAGCCAGTACAGCATGATATCAGTTTGTATGCTATGACACTGCATTTGATGGGTCTTTAACTACAAAACCTGTGGGGAGCAGAATAAAGCAATTTTTTTTTTTGTAAATGTGGGTTTTAAAAATTTTTCCATTGTTTTGAAGCAACAGAATGGTATGAAGTGCACACTGAAGGCACAGGAAAAAAAACCCAAACCAGTTAAATGTATCTACTCCCTTTTCAGTGCTCTGTAAAGCCATGCCTCAACTTTAACAGAACAATTTGGCTCTGGTGATGAGATCTATTGAGTATTTCATGTTACCATTTAGGAGGCAGACTAGGTCAGTAGTGATTAGCTTTTGTGGTGACAGCTGCGAAGAGTTAGTGGTATCTGTCTAGCTCTTAATGTACAAGAGGCCAGGTTGGCAGAGAAGCCCAGCACTTGGGAGTTCAGGCATACTGGGGAAAGCAGTACAAGGATCACTTTGTACTAGCACTGCTCTGGCTCTAGAGTGAACGCTTCATTTTCTAGCCATGTTCATTAGGCAACCTTCACGAGGGCTGAATTTATTCATTTTTGGAGAGGAAAAGTCTTCTTACTAAGAGATGGGGGGGAAAAAGCCATACCAAGAACACTTGTTTATAGCAGAGAGGGGGTAAAAGGTATTCAGCATCTGCCCAATATATAAAAATGGAGAGCTGTCAAGTGATTAAAAAAAATTAATCTCACTGTTAATAGAATACCATTTATTTAAATATTTTTGGATGTTTTCTACATTTTCAAATATTGATTTCAATTACAACAGAATACAAAGTGTATAGTGCTCACTTATTTTTGATTACAAGTATTTGCACTGTAAAAAAAGCAATATTTTTAAATTCAAATACAAGTACTGTAGTGCAATCTCTATCATGAAAGTTGAATTTACAGATGTAGAATTATGTACAAAAAAACCTGCATTCAAAAATAAAACAATGTAAAATGTTCGAGCCTGCTAGTCCACTCAGTCCTACTTCTTGTTCAGCCAATCACTCAGACAAACACGTTTGGTGACATTTGCAGGAGATAATGCTGCCTGCTTTTCACTTTCAGGTAACACTCTAAACAAGAACAGGTGTTCTCATGGCACTATTGTAGCCAGCTTTGCAAGATATTTACATGTCAGATGTGCTAAAGATTCATGTGTCACTTTGTGCTTCAACCACTCTTCCAGGGGGACATGAGTCCATGATGGGTTCTGCTCGATAACAATCCAAAGCAGTTTGGATGGACGCATGTTCATTTTAGTTTTCCAAGTCAAATGTTATCTAATGTCACCAGCAGAAGGTTGATTTTCATTTTTGGTGGTTTGGGTTCTGTAGTTTCTGCAGCGGAGTGTTTATTTTAAGACTTCTGAAAGCATGCTGCACACCTCATCTGCTCCCTCTGATTTTGGAAGGCACTTCAGATTCTTAAACCTTGGGTTGAGTGCTGTAGCTACCTTTAGAAATCTCACATCAGTAATTTGTGTTTTGTCAAATCTGCAGTGAAAGTGTTAAAACGAACAACCTGTGCTGGTCATCCAAAACTGCTATAACATGAAATATATGGCATAATGTGGGTAAAACAGAGCAGGGGCCATACAATTCTCCTCCGCCCCCCCAAAAAAGAAAAAAGTTCAGTCACAAATTTAATGAACTTTTTTTAAATGAGCATCATCAGCATGTCCTCTGGAATGGTGGCCAAAGCATGAAGGGGTTTATGAATGTTTAGCATATCTAGCATGTAAGTATCTTGCAATACCAGCTACAAAACTGCCACATAAATGCCTGTTCACACTGTCTGGTAACATTGTAAATAAGAAGAGCACAGCATTATCTCCTGTAAATGTAAGCAAATTTGTCTTAGCAATTGGCTGAACAAAAAATAGGACTGAGTGGACTTGTAGCCTCTGAAGTTCTACATTGTTGTGAAAGTGCAACTTACAAATAGATTGTTACATAACTGCACTCAAAACCAAAACAAAGAGGTTGCACTATAGTACTTGTAAGAGGTGAACTGAAAACTATTTTTATAAAAATATACACTGTCATATATATATTGTGTTGTGTTGTAACTGAAACCAATCTAGAAAAACAGCCACAATATTTAAGTTTCAAGTGGTAGTCTATGGTTTAGCAGTGTGATTAAAACAGATTAATTTGAGTTAATTGTGTGAGTTAACAGGGATTAATTGACAGCCCTAATAAAATGCACTGAGGTGGTCACTTGGCAGGACTTAAACTTTGGATTAGCAACCAGTCTTCACATTGCCTGTATCATTGCAAAGTTGGTGATCATCATCCTTAGGTAGGGTGATCTTTTGTCCTGATATTTGGGGCTTTTTCTCAGAGAGGTGTTTGTTACCCCCATGCAGATTTTTCCACTTTATCTGGTCACCCAACCCTTAAGTCAGTCCCACTTTCAGCTAAAGTGACAGGGCAGAGCAAACCAATGGATGTCATTCAGCTGCTAACCTCCCCCTCAAGTAAATGCTTTACAACACTGAATGGAGTGGTAGAGGTACTGTTCCTAGGGCCACCAACAACGGTGTAGCTCAACCATCCCAGAAAGAAATAGGCCAGTGCTAGAGTGGCTAGAGACTTAAGTATGTCTACACTGCAGCTGCGAGGGCCTCCCAGCATGTGCTAGCTCTGCTCAAGCTAGTGCATAAAAGAGCAGCAGGGCTGTTGTGGCATAGATTAGCCACCTGAGTTTGGACTGAGATGGGTCAGGTAGACTTTTAGCTGGGGGAGTGGAAGGGGTTAGCCTAGCCCCTGCCTGTGTCACAACATATACACCTGCTAGAAGTAGCGTGGCTGTTGAGCTGGGCTGACTGCACATCCACACCCATATGATCTGTGCACACTTATTTTAAATAACCCCACTGACTTAATCAAGAATTTTGCCCTGTGTCTCCTTCAAATTCCTCTCTCCCTCCCCACTGCATACGGGACACTGCCTGGTGCAGTGGGGGTATAAGAGGGATGGAAGCTGATACAGAGCATGTTCATACCTGGGTAGGCTTTCTCCTTCTCCGTGCCCGGCCCTCACATTGATTGGCCTCAAGGGAAGAGGATGTGGAATCTCATGAACAACAATTACTGCTCTAAGTTCCACTTGCACCCTAGATCAGTGTATGTTTCTGTGGAGATGGGGCCAAACTCGTCCCTTTCCCATTAGATGGAGCTACTGTCCCAGGGAGGGAAGACGCTCTTGGTCTTGTCTGCAAGAACTTAGTGTCAGGAGAAGAAAAAAATGCTAAAAAAAAAAAAAATCTATATATGCTTAACAGGAGAAACTTTGCAGAATCCCAGCTCCTGGCCCAAGTAGTTTGTAACCATTTCACATAAGTGTGTGCACCCTGTTTGCCTGTTGTACACAGTGGGTCTGTATCTGCCATTGTTGTAGTCAGGATGTTGAAAAACATTTTGCATAAAATTTTCATAACTCAATCTTGACAACATAGTCCAAAATTATTCCAGTGTGAAACTGGTGTAGAGTCAGAATCTGGCTCAGTGTATACACTAATGGATGTACAGCTCTTAGTGTTAAACACTAGGACCAGGTAAGAGAGAGGATGAGTTTAACATTTGGAAAGAGGCATTTTGCCAGAGCCCTCTTATCTGCTTACCAAAAGGAAACATACACTTGCCTCACTTGAAGAAAAGCTTTTGAGGTTAATGCAGGGAGCCAGGGATGATTTAGCAAGGCCTCAAGTTCTGTTTCACAGCCAGTGGAACCTTTGTCAAGTCACTTCATGTGGTTCAAGTTCCCTACCTGTAAAATAGGGGTAGTGGTAAATGTGGTAAGTACTTGGATAGCTGTAGCCAAGGACACCAATGGTTAATAGGTACTATTTGATTTGGAAACGTTTTATACACTCCTCATATTCACTAGTATACATCACTACTAAAGGTTCAGGCCAGTGGAGATGCAGGCCCAGGTCATCTTCAGCTAGAGCAGCTCTCTTCCCGGGAGATACAACATGACAAGCTTATTTCCTTCCTCTGGCAGAGGCCAGGACAGTCCCTGTCTTGATCTAGAACAATAGGACTGTTGGAGAAATATCCACTACTGATCAGGCATCCTATTTTCAAACCCTCAGGTCAGAACACTCACCATATTTTTCTAGTCATTTTAGAATAACTTAAAGGCATCAAAGCAATTCAACATTTATTAAGACGATTCTACAAGTTCTTGTGTGCAATGCAAACAATATGTACTAAGACTTCTTAGTGATGCTGAAGGCACCTTGAAATAAGATGAAATAATGGTAAAATCACAATGCCTTTTGCAGCATCCCCTTCATTTAAAAACCTATCCCACCACCACAACAGCATGGCTGTTAATAAGGGACAAATGTTACAATAGCAGTGAACACTGCTCTAAGTTAATAGTAACTAGGCTTTGAATGATTAGATGATCAGTTAGTATTGGTATGCATCCACTTCACCATACCCACACAACCTGATGAAAAAAATATTTCCATTGGTAATAAATTTAGAGGCAAAAGAAGAAAAATGCTGCTTGATAAATCTGATTTAAGGATATTTACTTTGTATATCTTGACACCTGATTGACAGTTCATGTTGTAATGGTTACAAAGCTAACTTTTTTAAATCAGTATCTACTGTTTAATAATTCTTACCCCCTTCATAATTTCCCATAAATAAAAAATTAAACCCATAATCTTGCACAACTGAATTTAAAATTGATTAAAAATTTTAAACAGTTGGCAGAATTCCTTTTTTTTTTTTTGGTAATTGACAAGCCTAATAATCACTCAGATCTAACCAGACATCAGAGCTTTGTATTGTCCAAGGCTCTGCTTATGTGTCTTTGTATGGAAAAGACCAAAAAAAAAAAAAATCTAAACACTCCTGAAGTTCTGCATTTCCTTCATTTCAGATGGAGGCAGAGTTAATCATACTAGTTTTTTCACAGGCACCTTGCTGACTGAATTTTTACTCCTGCTGTTCAACATGTCAGGAGTAAGAGGCCCAGAAATCCAGCTGGCCTAGAAAAACTGCAGTCTAAATCCACAGTAATGTTTTATCAACTGAAGAAAGGGGCTGCACAATGCACCATGGAAGCTTTCATGGG